GACAACAACTGGAAGATACACTAGAGAGCTTGATGCGGCCCTACCAGGGAAACATATTAAAAGACTCTATGATCAACTCCCAAGAACCCAGGCATCTATACTTGCGCAGCTCCGAACAGGGCATGCCCGCCTGAACACATTCCTTTATCAAATTGGTAAAATTACTAGCAATGAATGCGATTGCTTGGAAATGCCAGAGACAGTGGAACATTTTCTCTTTCACTGCAAGATATGGGAGGACTTACGTGCTGAAATGAAGACTGAGATGGGCCAACGGTACGGAGACCTTTCCTATGCCTTAGGTGGAAGATCATCCCAATCATCAGCGAGTGGACAACCAGTGGATCAAGAAAGAGGATGGGCACCAAACACCAAGGTAGTCAAAACTGTAATCCAGTTTACCATCAAGACCGGAAGATTCGACAAGGACTGATAAATCAGGGGGATCAAGGAACATCACGTGTACATAGTTGATTACGTCAGGATAGACTAGCTCAGAAGGCTACATGCAGCCTACGGCCGCGAAAAGCCTGAGGAATGTTATTATTATTATTATTATTATTCATCCTTCAACTACAAGCACATTAAATACTACTGGTGCTACCTCATCAATTCGCGACCCGATCAGCTGAATCTTCCCAGCCACGGCAAAACGAATCAAGTTGCCGTCCGCCTTCACGCTCTCCGTCCGTCGCGTTTGACCGTCCTCCCACCATCTCATCTTCCGTCCAACCCCCCAACCCTCCATGCCCTCCTCTATCGCTCGATCCGAACGGCCTTCCGAATAAACTCTCGTTCCGTCGCTTTGATTGCGGGTCCAGATTGGCTGCTGCTTGGCTGTCCGCGCGGGCCGTTGACAGACACCCACCAGCCACCATTGTTCCTGCACGCATGCTGACCGCAATGAGAGTCCATGGTCATGATCAATTCTGTGAGACATTGAGCTACGATACAGCTGTGGAGTGAGAGATTGCGCACTGTGCCAAGTTCTGCCAGGATCCAACGTCATTCCCGCATTCGTCGCCTGGTTCTCGCACATTCGATCCACATCCTGCCAGGGAAAACAATAACCCTCTCGCTTTTCATTTCCGGCTGTTCAGGGATTACAAGGGCACCATTATGGCCGACGGCGGAGGCCTTGATAATTTACCGCAATTGCTGCCCTCCTCGCTGCAGGAACCCCCGAACGAGCTTACATTTTCCTCGGCCTTTTCACGCGCTGCTCGAGCCCCCGCCATAACCGCAAGTCTATCGGGAGTGACAGGCATTGCGGCTTCCCATCTGCCACCCCCACCTCTGTCGTCGCCTCCAACACCCTCGACCATGGCCGGGTGGATTGGCTGGTTGTTTGCCTTTTTTTTCCAGGTCGTCCCGAGCATACTTTACTGGACCATCACCTTCTGTACCATTACGCTCCCGACATGGCTCTTTACTCTCTTTTCCATGAGCTTGACCTTCACCATGAACTTCACGACCTTGTAAGTCGTAGCCATTTTCTCTGGTATCTAATTCCGACCGGTAATTGAATTGGGTTGGCTTATCAAATAATGTATTCTAGACTCCTGATCCTGCTGGTCCTCGTCTCGACCATCAGTTGGTTCATTCGCTACCGGTTCCTGAACATGTACAGCCGTCTTCCACCGGAACCACAACGGAAAGAACCCCAGCTTGACCTCTTCCCCGATGTCCATGAAGGCGATTCAAAGCCCGGTCTGGCCAACTACCTCGATGAGTTCCTCAGCGCCATCAAAGTCTTTGGATACCTGGAGCGACCCGTTTTCCACGAATTGACCCGGACGATGCAGACGCGGAAACTGATCGCTGGAGAGACTCTCATGTTGGAGGAAGAAAAGGGTTTTTGCTTAGTGGTGGATGGATTGGTCCAGATCTTTGTCAAATCAATTCGGGATCGTAAACCAGGAATTGACGAGGATGTGCACCTGATGGATAATGAAACGTCGGACGAGGAGGGTGACAACATTGAGGGCAAACAAGGGTATCAATTGCTCACAGAAGTCAAAAATGGTGCATCCATGTCGTCTCTGTTCTCCATTTTATCACTGTTCACCGAAGATGTTCAACTGCGCGCATCAGAGAGCACCAGATCAAGCACCCCCAGTAACGTTCCAATGAGCGCAAGCACATCTCGCGAGCACGGTTCATTCCCTGCGAGTCCACATGGTTCGATGGAGTTGGATAGTCCTTCGGCTACAACAAGAGGACGCAGCGATTCCACCCCTCATCTCAATGAAAGTGGAGAATTACCAACTGTGCCGCCGTTTAATCTGGATGAGAGTGCACAAGACTCTCCTCGGGGGCCCAGGAAACTGCCAGGGAAAAAAAGGCGGAAATCGGTCCATCCGGATATCGTCGCCCGTGCGATGGTGGATACGACGATTGCTATAATCCCTGCCAGTGCTTTCCGCCGCTTGACAAGAGTCTATCCTCGAGCTACTGCTCAAATCATCCAGGTCATTCTTACTCGTTTGCAGCGGGTTACATTTGCCACGGCGCATTCATATCTGGGTCTCAGTAGCGAAGTGTTGGGCATTGAACAACAGATGGCCAAGTATACGAACCACGACCTACCCAATGAGATGCGGGGTGCTGCACTGGATCGTCTGAAAGAGAAATTCATCAAAGAAAGAGATCGATTGGGCCCCGAGGAGATCACCAAAGGCATTGCGTTGCATAATCCTTCTCTCGGAAGAAGACGTATTTCCACGACTAGCTTGCGCAAGGAGGCTGCTCTTCATGCGAAAATGGCATCTTCTCGGCGTCCTGCTTCGGTTGTTGGCCAGGAAAACTTGAATATGACTGAACGCGACACCGGAGTCAGTCCTGGTGATTTGCTCTCTACCATCCAGCTCTCTAGATTCGGACCGCGATATGACCATCTGGCCCCCCGACTGCAGACTCCCTTGGCAGAACGGGAACAGTCGCCTTTTCGACCACCACATCTCCACCGAAAGGAATCGTCCATCGATGAGGATGTCCTGTTCCGGGATGCCATTCTCGACTGCATCATGAAAGGCATCGGTCTCAGTGGTAGTACCCGTGATGCGTTTCGCAAGAGTAGTCACTCGGGCGATGCATCCCCGAAACTCCTTTCGTATGATTCGCGGCGCCAAAAGGCCGTGTTCAGCAATGCGTTTGGATTTATCGATCCGTATGAGGGCTCCGTAGAAGGCGAGACAGACTCGATGATGTCCATGTCGGTAACCAGCGCTGGAGGCACTTCGCCTATTGTCAACCTGAAAGAGGAGCTCCGGAGCGATATTGAGATTGTCTACTTCCCCCAAGGATCGGTTCTCGTTGAGCAGGGAGAGCGCCATCCTGGATTATACTATGTCGTCGACGGCTTCTTGGATGTAGGAATCCCCGTGAGCGACAAGGGAGAAGATCTGGTTGGAACCTCCAGACCAACCTTCATGTCCAGGCCGTCCGAGGAACCATTCCCGACTCTCAAACGCACCACGACAGGATCGACGCGGAGTTTCGCCGTCACCGGTGCGGCTGACGGCAATAAGCGAAAGAAGCAATCGCGGAAGTCGCTTTACATGATCAAACCTGGCGGAATTCAGGGCTACGTGGGCGCTGTTGCATCGTATCGCTCGTACACTGATGTGGTTGCCAAGACTGATGTCTGGGTGGGATTTTTACCGCGGTCATCACTGGAGAGGATCGCGGAACGGCATCCAATAGCTCAAATGACATTGGCCAAGCGGCTGACCAGTCTACTCCCGCCGTTGTTGCTTCATATCGATTTTGCCCTCGAATGGGTGCAGGTAAACGCTGGACAGGTGATCTACCACCAAGGTGACGAAAGCGATGCAATCTATCTCGTTTTGAATGGCCGTCTGCGATCTGTCTTGGAAGGAGTGGATGGGAAGATGACCGTGGTTGGTGAGTATGGTCAAGGTGAGAGTGTGGGTGAGCTGGAGGTGATGACAGAGTCGACCCGTCCTGGCACGCTGCATGCCATCCGGGCCACTGAATTGGCCAAGTTCCCCAGGTCGTTGTTCAATAGTCTCGCGCAGGAGCACCCGGGCATCACCATTCAGGTGTCCAAACTGATTGCTCAACGGATGCGTGACTTGGTCGAGCACCCTGTTTCGGAGAAGGGTATGGAACAAAGCAACGCCGGTAGTGTCAAGACTGCGACGTCAACGGTCAACCTTCGCACGGTTTGCATCCTGCCTGTTACCGCTGGCGTTCCGGTTGTAGAATTTGGACACAGGCTGCTGCATGCGCTGCATCAGATTGGTGTGACCAACGGAGTAACGTCGCTGAACCAGGCGGCCATTCTCAACCACCTTGGTCGGCACGCATTCACGAAGATGGGCAAGCTCAAGCTGTCTCAGTACCTGGCTGACCTAGAAGAGAAGTACGGCATGGTGTTGTACATTGCAGACACCAATGTGAATGCACCGTGGACTCAAACATGCATCACGCAGGCGGACTGTATTCTGTTGGTTGGTCTGGCAGAATCATCCCCAAACATCGGAGAATATGAGCGGTTCCTGTTGGGAATGAAGACAACAGCTCGCAAGGAGCTCGTATTGTTGCATGCTGAACGGTACTGTCCTCCAGGAATAACCCGCCGGTGGCTGAAGAACCGGGTGTGGGTCAATGGAGGCCACCACCACATCCAGATGGCATTCCGATTGACGACCGAACCATCACATCCCCAAGCCAACAAGCGCCTGGGTACTGTTCTGAAGCAGCGCGTGCAGGTCATCCAAGCGGAAATCCAGAAGTATACTTCACGGCGGATTCGCCAGACACCTCTCTACTCTGCGCACACGCCATTCAAGGGTGACTTTCACCGTTTGGCACGACGGCTTTGCGGACGGTCCGTTGGTATTGTGCTTGGTGGAGGTGGTGCCCGCGGTATTGCGCATGTTGGCGTGATTAAGGCGCTTGAAGAGGCGGGTATTCCTATTGACATTATTGGTGGTACATCAATTGGTTCATTCATCGGTGCTCTTTATGCGCGTGATGCGGATGTGGTTCCGATGTATGGTCGAGCAAAGAAATTTGCTGGCCGTATGGGCAGTATGTGGCGATTTGCACTGGATCTCACTTATCCGACTGTCTCCTACACGACCGGCCACGAGTTCAACCGTGGTATTTTCAAGACCTTTGGTGATAGCCAGATCGAAGATTTCTGGCTGGAGTTCTACTGCAACACAACCAATCTCAGCCGCTCCCGTGCAGAATTCCATTCATCTGGATACGTCTGGCGATACATCCGTGCCTCAATGACGCTAGCCGGTCTAATCCCCCCAATGTGCGACGAAGGCAGCATGCTCGTGGATGGTGGCTACATCGACAACCTTACCGTCTCGCATATGAAAGGCCTAGGCGCGGACGTAATTTTCGCCGTTGACGTCGGTTCTATCGATGATAACACTCCACAAGCCTACGGTGATTCGCTATCTGGTTTCTGGAGCGTCGTCAATCGCTGGAACCCGTTCTCCTCGATTCCCAACCCGCCTACACTTTCCGAAATCCAGGCTCGTCTTGCATACGTCTCGTCGATTGATAATCTTGAACGCGCGAAGACCATGCCAGGTTGTTTGTACATGCGTCCACCAGTCGACCCATACGGAACCCTAGAATTCGGCAAGTTCGACGAGATCTATCAACTCGGGTACAGTTTCGGAAAACAATATCTTGAAAGACTCAAGAGTGAGGGCTCGTTGCCGATTCCCGAGGAAACGGAGGAGAAGAAGAAGTTACAGAGGACTATGGCCCCGCGGAGGGCTAGTATTTGATCCTCTTTCATCTACCGACTACCCCCGCTCCTCTTTTCTAAAAATGAATATCCTGCCCAGTACAGTGTACTGGCAAATGCTGTTATGATATATGCAAGCGCGGAGTTAGGGCACTACTTGACTGACTTTGTTCAACACATTGATTACATGACGATATGATACCAATTTGTATATGTGATAGAGTAGTATTTGTACATGGTAGATAGCTTAACTAACAATGAATACCTTGACAGTACCATATCTGTGTTCTAGTCTAGCTGAATAAAGAACGAACGAACACCCCAGGTGAGATATAGGCGCGTACATACCCAACTGAGCAACACAACAGATCAGACACTACCCTTGGTTCTGGTGCTTGCTATCTACTGGTATCGACCTGCGCCTCCAAGACCATATTCTTGTCCTATGGTTATTTAGAAGTCTGTACCTGTAGATCCTGTATTTCTTGCTTCTGCACCTCTGAACACCGTACCCCGCGTTCATGTTAAGAGAAAAGACGATAACGGGTGGGAATCCCAACGAAGCGATACGCCAGACTTATTGAGGTTCTGTAGGGAGATTAGCCGGCTTGGTCTTAAGTGCATCAGGTCGAACGACGTGGTAGTTCGTTAGAGCACACTCATTTTGTTATTTCATCTTGGCTCCACGTCACATATCCCCCAAGGATTCTGGCCTTCGTATTCCTTCGCAGTCCCAAAAGGTCGCCCATCTTGGGTATCCGGGCATATTGTGTCAATTACCGGCAAGTCATGCTGGTGACTTGCGCGACTGATGAGAATTAAAATGCACATCGAAGTGACAGACTTTGGTTTTGATAGCTGACCTGCCACCTGGAAAGCAGTGTAAGTTATAGTCATGGTGCAACTATAATGCGAAATGCCTGTCGCTAGCATATCAGGTTCTAGCCTGACTTGTTCTTGTCAATTATAGTATATCCCACCGTCAGAAAAGTTGCTGTCAGGTTCTGTTGTTATACCAAATATCTTTCGTCGATGACACAAATAATGCAACCAGAAGACCAGAGTTCTTGGGATGTGCGAACTTTGGGTAACTGGTACCTCGTACAATTCATCCAATCTTATCAGCGCCCAGAGTCTTCCGGAAAGTTGGGTTTCCCTTTTCGGACGTTAACATGAGATTGCCCAAGATCTCTGGTGTGGTCTCAGGTTTCAGATTTATCACGTCTTTGATTGTACCTGATTGTCGCGATCTATGCCGGTGAGGTCATGTCCTTCGATCTCGTTTCACATCACACTCATCTCGTGACAGGCCACATAGTGTCTAGATGGCATTGTCGTTCATGGCTCGCGTTATAATTTATCTCCTGGAAATGCTTGTCTTCTTTGCAGTTCATGATCATGGTGGAGGTAACTGGCAATGCGAAACCAGTCCGATCCAATTTCGCTAAGAGCCTACCCTACTCATCGGAAATGGAAATCGTCGTTTCAAACGAGATGGGGAACTCTAGGAACTATATAATGCGGTGTAACGCGCGGATTCTGAGCAGGGGATTGAATCAATCGGCTGGCATAGAACCGGAGTGGATGGTTTGAAAGGAAGATGGGCGAAGTTGCTTATGTTGATGGGGGTTTAGATGTCACATTGCCTGCATGTTTGATTGTAGGTATGTGTGTGTGTGTGTGTGTGTGTGTGTTTGGGAAGTTCTGGTCAGGGGACTGATGGATACATGGTCCTGAGCAAGGGCAGTAACTGGCCATAGACCGAGGGTATTTATATCCACTTGGTAAACGTAAATATCGATGATACTAATGCACTAATATTATTTGGGTGTCGCATTAAAGGTAAACAATTAGGTATACATCGACTACAAGAAATCAAACTACCTTGCCACAGCATACTTCATCCATAACGGCTCCTCCAGCAACCTCCCCAAACAACTATCCTCAACACCCATCAAGATTTCAACACCCCCATCCGGCAACGGCGGCAACACAATCTGCAACCCGTTAATACAACCCACACTCGGCGTCCGCACGGCCTCTACCCTTCCAAGCAACGAGCCCCACTCTAACTGATACAGCTCGAACCTAGCCCACGAGCTCAGAATACAGTTAAACCCCGGGACATCAAGGAACGCTGTTGGGACTAATCTGTCGACGTCGTCAAGCTGCTCGACGAGAGACATCACGTCGTCTGTGTATTGGTTGTTTGCGCCGAGAACGGCTTTGCGGATTAGGATTGCTAGGTCGGCGAGGTTGCATGAGCCTAGGATTTTGCGAATGGGGAGGGAGACGGCGATGTATTCGAGGAAGCAGCCTAGGGTTTCGGGGTGGACGGGTGGATGCGTTCGTTGGCGGCCGTCTATTGCGATGTTGAAGACAGATACTGGATTGCCGTCGAGGGTGTCGAGCGGCGATTGCACTGCCATGACTGTGCGCCAGAGTAGCGCGGAAAGGGCATCGTTGGTCGAGACCCAGGGTTGATGTGATGGCACTGTTGCGTGAGCTGGGGACGCCTCGGCTTTGAGTGCTTTGAGAGCCGCAGGCGAGAAATAAAAGACCTGGCCGCGGTGATGAGGTGATAACATTCTCGGCGGTGCACCCGCCGGTGTGAAAGGAAGGAGAGTATATTCCGGGTGCGTCTTCAGAAACCCAAAATTCCGGCCAGACGGCATCATCATGCGATCTCTATCGCGCCAAATGGCGTCGTCGAGATGGATTGGTTCGAAGGACTCTTGTAACGCACTTCGGCATTTACTAGCCCAGACCTTTGTCCAAGTGTAGAATGATGTCCCGTCTCCAACCATGTGTAGGATACACCATGTGAGGATTAAGCCGCCGCGGATAAAATTCGCCTGTACAAGGGATATCGGTAGTCTCTCTCCGGGAGTTGGCCAAACAGACCGGCGACAGAAGATGTCGCCATCAAAAGCAGCCACGGGGAAGGCTTTCTCTTTGAGCACTGAGTAGTGTTGCGGGAAGGTATCGGAGTTTCGTAGATCCTTTACTACGATATCTTCAAAATCCGGGCCATCGAGTCTTTGTAGTTTCAGGACACCGGCTTGCTTCGAGTTGAGATCAGGAATTGCCTCGCAGGCCACAACTGGAATGTGGTTTTTGAGGGCGTCGTATCCAGTCCTCAAGACTGTAGCGACTTGGTCGATATTGTAGTCTTCGACGAGCTGGAACGGGAAGACATAGCGGAGGTATCCTTTGGGGCCGATGCGTTCCAGTGATGTGAGGGCCGGGACTGAGGCGTTCTTGTATTCTAGAATCGAACTCATTGTGAGTTTTGTTCGTTGTTGAATTGAAAACGACGGATAAAGTCTCTACTACGAGAGAGGGGAACCACTTTGTACTTATCTTACCCAGTACTCCTATAGTCTGATCGGCTGTTACTCGTCCACTTAAGCCTCTCTGTTCACTATAGCCAATTAATTGCATGGGGAACACAACATACCCGGACTTTAGATAAACGAGGAGGTACCTTTTCTAGCTTGTGACAGTCCGGAATAATGGCGAGACAATTCCGCTTATTTTTCTCCTTGTCTTCCACTCTATGACCCCTATTCCGCAGACAATAACCTGTTGATTATATCTATTGATTAACATGTAGGATCCTGCTGACGGCCTCGGATATCCTATTTTCCTCATTAAGTATCCCAAGTCGGAACTCACTCCGGTCCGTGCTGATTGGGACTTTGAGCATCCCCCGGAGACCGTTAGGCCGTTAGACCGCTCGACAGCTGAACCAAATCAAATCTGATCGAGTTAGCGCTTGCCGGAGCACTTGCCGCAGTCAACAAAAAATCCGTGTCGCTAGTTAAGCAAGTGCGGGGGTTCCTTTTATCGCTGTGGCTCCATATTCTGTCGAATCATCTTTTCGTGCTCTGTATATCTCGATGACACGGGCACTACTGCCCATGGATGAAATGGGAGGGTCCATATGTGATATACATACCCTTCTTAGTGTGATCGATCGAGACAGAAGTATGTATCGCTTCGAGGAGGGCCTGTCGTTAGCAAAGTGAATTGAAATATCTTTTAGCATATGCTATTACTGAGCTGCACAGCATATCCAAGGAGGTGATTCTGGATGGCCTAAAGCAGATGCATAAGATAACTGTCGCGTGCTCCACTGAGTGACATCTTCTACATGGCATTGTTTTGGATTCAGCTATCCTATCCATTTTCGGTCCGCCGCCGGATAGCATAAATGTGGCCGACGGCCATGTGGGAGAGAACAATGCCTCAATCATTGCTCTCTTGTGTCTGGCGGCCGTAGCGGTTTTTCTGCGATTTGTCACCAAGATATCGCTGCGGAATCCTCTAATAGCTGATGACTAGGCTATTCTAGTTGCTCTAATATGTTCTTGCTGCTGGGGCTGTAAATAAGTTGTTTGCTGACGAGGTGTGCCTGGATAGCTGCTTGTAGGTCAAAGGCTGGTCTGAGTATCTCAGGCAGCGCCACAGGAACCGGGAAGCATGTTTGGGGAAATACCTTAGACAGCCTGACCATGAAATTCAAGTCAGTCCACTCAATGATTCACACGTGGTCTTCCCTACTCAAGCCAAAAGCAGGCCCTATATACATACACCTTCGTCTACGCAGCCGCCTGCGCCTCGACCAAGATCTTCATTCTAATGTTCTACCGCTGCGTCTTCACACCCTTCGATCCGGCCCTTAAAGGGCCATCTGCTTCGGTTTCTTCATTACTCTCTCCTATCCATTCACGATCTGGATGACCATGGCGAATTATTGTCGGCCGGTATCATATCCTAGATCAAGTTTAGCAGCGCCAAGGGAACGTGTGTTCATATTAACCAGATTTTCCTTCCGTTGGGGATTATCAATATGTTAAATGATTTTATCATTCTTTTGATCCCGTTTCCAGAGCATGACGCTGCAGATGAGTACACGGAGAAATTTTGCTATTCTGGGATCATGGCAGTGGGCCTCTTGTAAGCGCGAAGCAAGTCCCCAAAGTCCAATCCATATCAAGCTAACCAGTCTGAGCACATACAGTGTCTGCGTAGCCTGCGTCGCCAGCATTGCCCGCATCCACTACCTCTCTCCTCTTCACTCAAATGATCGACGTCACATGGCTCATGGGCCCAGTATTCATCTGGTCCACCATTGAACCCTGCGTGGCAATCGTCTGCGCCTATTTACCGCACTTAGCACCCTTCTCCCGGCAAGTCCACGAGTCTGTTTTACTAGTCAGCGCTCGAGCGGGAAGCCCAACTCTGCGTCGTCAAGTAGGCCGTGGAAGAGTGGGAGTATCTATCGGGGACAGTGGCGGGGTATGGAGGATAATGAGATTGGGTTGACGAATGATGATACAGTGGGTGAGAGGATGGGGAGGTTGGGCAAGGTTGGGGATGAGGATGGGAATGAGAATGGTAGAAGGAACAGGGGATTTCTGTAATCGAGTTTTGTGCAGTCAGAGTAAACCTTGAGTGCATTATATATTCATTGGACATGGGGGTGGTCATATCGTAGATCTGACAGAGACCCCGATATATATTTCGAAGTAGTCAGCCAATGTGCAGTTGATATCAGCAATATTTTCTATCCAACTTCTTACAAATATACTGTCTAATATTTTTACATGGACTACGGTACCGGTAAGCGTTCGCAATGCCATGGTACAATCATAACCTAGGGATACAACCATAGTCAGGACAATCCAGGGGAAACAGCCAATGAGACGTAGATTCAAGCTGACCAGATTAAATGTCATAAACATGTAATAACGATGTAGGCATTTAAGATATTGTAAAGAGGCGATAAGCAAACAAGGAAGCGGCAAATGAAGCTGCTTCTGGAAGATCATGTCATAGTGGATGTCTTTTGCCTGCCGAATATGAGAATTCCGATTCCGGGGCGGATTATAATGATGGTTCGCATGCAATTATTGTATTGTAGATGCTAGCAACAAAGGGTCTCACATATGAGATCTTCTCATATCATGGTACATCGTGACAAGTTTATACACTAGGGGTACGATGTACACAAGTCATTATTTTCACCATTAGCACATACAGTAAAGAGTATTTATGCCCAACATAATAAGCATCAACAACACAACGAAAGGATATTATATTAATATTAGATCGAACCAATAGGCCAAGTACCATTCATGACCAAGTCAATCCTCCACGTTGACGTTCCCTCGTATAGTCATAGCCATGAATCGGCATGAGCATTAGCTGAGAATATAAAGATATCGACAATAAAACGACGGCATAGCAAATAAGCCAAACCCATAAAAGGCAGCCAATGCCCAAGTCACCATGCATAAACATGCGCATGCACATGCAGCTGACACCTCCACTGGACGGTCATAGTGCACGCCCACCAGCTTAGCCATGCAGCAACCGACTTAGCAAATACTTAGACCGCAGACGTCGCCGCAGGCGGAGCCGGTGCCGCATGGCCGTTCTTCTCCAGATGCGGGTTCTCCTCGCGCTGAGACCAAAGTGACAGAATCTCAAGCAACATGCCGAAGAATGTGAAGATGAAAGCGAGGAAGATGAACGCCTCGTTGGCATATTTCCTGGAGCAAGCTAAACCGGGGGGAGAGAAGAATCTGCACTCGAGCCAGTTATAGTCTTGGGCCGCGAAGATGAAGGCTGTCAGCCAGCTAGATGTAGTGTCAGCAAATTGATGCCTTTGTCTTGCATATAAGATGGACAAGGGAGGGGCTTGGGAGGCGTACAGGTAGGAGAAGATGACGTCGATGAAGAACACAAAGCCGGAGACAACCTTGGGCATGAAAGGCGAGAGGAAGGCGGGGAGGAAGAAGACGACGGACATGGTGGCCTGTATATGTTAGCATCCATAGCTCCGGGGGATAGAGATGTAAGGGCGTACAATGACTTCCTGGTAGATGATGTGCTGCCCGCGAGGCCCCCTGTGAATAAAGTAGGACGTGATACCCATCACAATAACGGCACTGCACCACTGCAGAACGCGAGTGATGAGCTGAAAAGGACGAAGAAGCGACTTGGAAATGGCCACCATATTGCGCTGTACAAGTATACTCTGCTGAATATCGAACCAAGGGTATCGGGGTATCAAAGCAACGAAACCGAGCTTAACTCTGTATGTTTGAAGAGAAAAACGAACCGGGGAAAAGCAGGGGAGCCACCAAATTTATGTCCTGTCCCAGTACAGCAGCCGGGTCACATCAAACAAACATCACATCGGGTTGTGATCCGATTTTTGCGTCAGTCCAGAAACAGTGGCGGATCCACGGGTCAAGCCAGGTCAGTCAGGTCATTCCTCGAGAGACGAGCACAGAAAATAGCTCTGCCAAATCATCACATGTAGGCCCTTGTACCACAGGTTCCCCTCACTGTCGAATAGAGTGCGATGCATGGATCCTGCATATCCCGGATGTCACAAATCGGGATCTGCGGGTTTCCGGAGGGGCAACACAGAGCTACATCCATACTGTGTGGTAATGGAATTCGAAAACAGGACAATGCCGGCATCCCACGGAGGCTGCTCGGATGAGTATGGCTTACATAGCGATATGTTGGTTGATATCCGGATACCGCGCTCTGTATACTTTTGGACCTAATTCAGCCTTGTGGGGTTCCTCTCGGGGGTTCCTCGGTGATCTTATCCACACCGTGCTGTAAACATAAGATACCATGAATGTCGATATGCGGTTTGTTATCAATGTATACGGGAGCCAGTACTCGGACATGCCTGTAGGAAATCTTATGATCATCAGGCGACTATATCACCCATGCTATAGCAGGCGAAATGCTTATTCAATGCACATCGGAATGCTCGGCATGCAGGCCACCTGATCAAAAGGTCTTTTCTCGGACCGACTTACTCGATACATAGCTAATCATACAAGTACATACAGACAAGCAAACTATTCAGCCCAATTTTGAGTCACCGCATGTGTCGTGTTGTTCTTGCCATTGGCCGTTTGTGGTTGAGTATATTCTTCCCATTTATTCCGACAACTGGTCCTTAGGCTTATGCTTTTGACTGTTTGTTAGAGAGGCTACTATCCGGTTACTTTCCCTGCAGACAAGTCGACGTATCCTATGCTTAGAAGTATGCTGTGCATGCCCAATGCCGACAATTTCGCAAATATACCCCCAATGTCAATATGTATTGCTGCCATGATAGGTTCCCCGATCGGCATACTACTTACCATCCAGAGTATTCTAAAGAGCGTTGTATGCATCAAACCACACAGTTGTAGTATGGCGGGGCTTGCATTCGCCTTCGAATGCCGTGGGAGGTTACCGGGGACTGTGAGACTGGGGTAGTCAAGTGATTGTGGATGATTCTCGACAGTAGAGCTACTCTTCAGGGAATCATAGACCAAGCGGTGCTTCCAGACACCGTAGTACAGCGATATGGTGATACGGAAGAGACTAAGGCCTATTTCTGAACGTCTGCGTCTCAGTGACTTTGTTGTTGGCCATTATTCTATTCTATATTGGAAATAGAGTACTAGAGTACGGTATCCAGCATATACGAGTAACTTTTCATGACATCGCGTTGCCCAGTTCGTGTTCCTGGCTCGGTTAGCTTCCAGTGGATTCGCGATGCTCGGATGGGTGCTTACCTTCAGATACTCACTCCCCTTCTCCAAATACTCCTGACGAGATATCGACACCCTTCCCAACTCACCCTGCGATGCCCACTGTGCCGCCCCCCTCCATGCATCCAACACCGCATCCCCAGCCCGTCTCACCACCAACTCCGCATCATCCGCCAAATGCCGACGGAAATCCTGTCTGAATCGTTCATCAAAATTCTGAAAGGCTGTGTTCCCGCCTGTCAAAAATACATCCCGCAGCAGCCGTTGTCGATCTTCACCCGTCGAGAAGCGCTGATTGACTATATCGGCTGCCACCTCGACCAGCCCCGCTTGGTCGATCCCGGCGATCGACGGCTTGAACACCACCTCTGGCACACGGATGCGCTCCACGTTCAGGTGCACTTGGTGTGCCTCGCGTTGGCTTTCCGGGTCGAATGGCCAGGGACCCCGCAGGAAGACGTGCACCATGCTCTTTGTCCAGTCAGATTGGGCTGCTAGTGTGTGGTTTTCAGTAAAGTCGGGGTCGTGTTCGAGGAGTTCATTTTCTAGGTTGGTGAGGACGCCGCCTAGGTCTTCTTCTTCCTCTTCGTCGCTTTGGTCACCTGTTGCGACAGTGCGGTAAACTCCCCAGTCTTCGTCGTTGGCACCGAAGTCGTCATCATCTGCGCCACGGCGTCGCTTCTTCGGACCATCTGAGGCTAGGTTTGCTAGGGTCTTCATGCGCATTTGACTGGCGAGGGATTTGCGGTTGCCAAGATCGGCCTTCATCCGGTCGCGCTCTTTCATTTTTTGCAGGACACTCTACTCGTCGTTAGACATGTCATTCATGCATTGCATCGATGGACTTACCTGTCGGGCCTGTCGCCGTTCGCCAATCCAAGACTCAAAATCATTTTCGCGCTTCTCCCGATCCAACCGCTCTTCCTCCTCGCGACGAGCTTTCTCGGCCTCCTTCTCCGCCTTGGCACGTTGCCTTGCCTCGACATTAGATTTCATTAACCGCTGGTGTCGTTTTTCCTTCAAGCCTGCTTCATCCAGGTCCTCATCCGGAACATCCAACAACGGGAACGACATTTCCTCCGCTGGTTCTTCATTCTCCTCGATTCCTAGATCTTTATTCCTCGAACGCCGGATGGAGCGCTCCAAATCTCGGATCAACCGATCCAGATGCGCTTCATCCTTCAGATCCTCCGCTTCCAGGATGCGTCTAATTTCCTTCTTTGTTTCAGAGGCAAGACCCTGCTGTAGATCCTTGTAGTATTCCAATTCCTGCTCCTTCTTCATGAGTTTATCAAGACGCATCTTGGCAGCTTGTTCCTGCAGTCGACGGCCACTTTCCTTCTTCCGCTCTGCGATCCGCGCCAGTTCTTCTTCCGATTTCTCCGGTACGACATGTTCTGTGAAGGGGTATTGGACAACGTGGTCGCGATCTTCAAGCCCCGTCCAGTCCAGAAACCCGCCAAGCTCTTGGTCATAGTCCTTAGACACGTAGCAGTGGTTATGCACGAGATCCTGCACCTGGCTTTCCGTCATGCGTGCGGGAAAGGTAGGGTATTTGAGACGCATCAGTTTGAGGAGGTATTCGGAAGCGTTTAAGCCACCCCAGTTGAGCCGCGAGCAGTTCGAAAGGAGAGGTTTCGAATCGAGGACAGGAATAACGTGCGTAGCTGTATGGGATGAATCGACAATCAATCCATTCCTCCCGTTATTATACCGGTATGAGAACAGTGAATCTATTCCATAGGCGACCGACGGCGCAGAGTAGCACTCAAATAGAATCTCGTTCATCACTACCACCTGTCAGCTACACTCACATATATTACCCACCCTGGAAAATAAACGTACTTCGTCTCGGATAACTCAGATTCGCAATCGGCTCCGTCATAACAATAGGCCGATCAACACCACCACTCGCCCCGTCAACACCCAGCTTAATGAAAGTATGATCCAGCACCCCTTCCATAACATCCCAGTTACCAACCACGCTTGTACCGGGGTCGAAGGCATTCCGCAACTGTCCTCGTGTCGTGGCATCGACGTACGAGTCGTATCCGATAAACTGACATGCTCGATTGAGTTTTCGATCACGGTATCGTGCCATCACAGGGGGGAAGACTAGACGGGGGTTTTTGTCGAAGGACCAGCCGGCTTTGATGAGATTCGAGCCTGTATAGAATTGTCTCGTTAGTTTTACAAGACACCTAGATGATCAGACTGTAGGAAAAAAGCAAACCCACCATTATCAATGACTATCGCACTGCTGTCCGGATTCGCTTTGCTCTGCTGGTATCCCTCCGGCTGTGGTGGGTGGTATCCCTTGAACGGATGGTCTATGACATTGTATACCTGCGGGGGAGGCTTCGCGGCCTTTCGTTCGGTAGGATCGGTTGTGAGGCGATTGGGGACAACGTTCTGAACTGACGTGATGGTCATGGCAACTGAACGGTGGTATTAAGGCGGAGGTAGGTCAGAGGGAACTTTGAGGTTTTCGGGGGATATGTGATTATAAGCGCATCGCAAGTGGTCGCAGTTGCGAAGATATTCAAGAACTAGGCTGGTGGAATAGAAGTGAAGGAAGAAAGGGTGATGACAATGGGGAGTTGAAAGGTTGAAGTCCAGCGCGCTCCGCAGAAGAGATCCGGAGATCGTTTGATGCCGCCAAGACTACAATCAGAGATATCGCTACATCTTAAGAGGATATAAAAGTACTTTACTGAGGAAGATAGGAATGTATATGCCAATTCCTATTCATTGAATCCCAATTAGCATCCGTCATGCTTCGTAACAAATCATCTCAAAAAATATACAATGCGAGATTGGGCACTATGACGGCTCCTTCAGATTCTCCGTGGCTATTCAGGTTAGCCAGTAGTATAACAGACAGCCATTTGAACATACCTTCCAAATGGAACAAGACATTCGACTGGTAGTTCTTGAACATCTGCGCGACCAATTCCACGTTCATGTTCTGGATGTTCACCTCCTAAGCGAAGTCAGCATAAATCGAGACAGACATATATTGCGCAAGCGCTGCATACCTGGAGGCTCTTGTTCATGACCATCACCGACTCATTGAGTTTCTCCTATAGGTCTGTCAGTCCCAGACTGGCAAATGTAGATTTCGATGTGGACATACAATGTTGTTGATGATTCGAGAAAGAATCAGGGTCTGCTGGTGTTCGTGAGGGCTCTCCTGTTATGTGTCAGCGCTATAACCTCATATAGAGATGTATTTTAGTATACAACTGCATACCATCTTGATGCTTGGAATGTTGAAGTGGTTTGTTTGTTGCTGCTCCGAACCGCATCACCACCCCGACAGTCACGTGCAGCTATACAAAGACCGCATCGGAGACTGACAGAGTTGTCGCGCTTTATCCAATGTTATCAGCTTCGATTCAAACGCTGTCATATATTTACTCCATTAACACAGATCTCGATTTGTGTACAACTACGAATACCATTACAACGATAACCTCATCCTCCAACCTACCGTACCAAATATCCGTGCCCTTCTTCACACCCATCCCATTAACAACCTTTCGCATCATTCCATCCTCCCAACCCAGGGAAACTCAGCACTATGCCAAACCCAACCCCCGCCGAAACAGAAGCCCACCAAAAACTCCTTGACACCCTAGACATCGCCCAAATCCCGCGCCCTTTCCGCTCCTCCACCTGGCGACCCTCCCAACGCCGCAACAAAAACGTCAAACAACTCCTCTCCGAGAACTCCAGAAAAGAAGCCACTGCTTCAGTTCTAGCTACGCAAGCAAACTCCGGTGCAACAACCCCCCTCCCACCGACCACCGACACAGAGACACATGCTGAAGGAGCGCAGGGGGGAGAGCATATAGCGCAGGCAGCGCAGAACCTGTCAACGCTGGTTTTGGAGAAGAATGCGAATGCACGGGCGATGGCTGGTTTGGGGTCAGGACCATCCGTGACGTGGACGAATATCGAGTCTGCGCCGTCGTTGCATCCTGCGCAGCAGAAACGGTACTGTGATATCACGGGGTTGCCGGCTTCGTATACGGATCCAAAGACAAGACTACGGTATCATGATAAGGAGGTTTTTGGAGTGATCCGGTCATTGGCGCAGGGTGTGCCGGAGAGTTATTTGGAGGCTAGGGGGGCGCAGGTTGTGCTCAAGTAGTGTTCTACCAACTGTACTCTGTACTACGGGAATACCACAACAAGAAGTAAGTTGATAAGTTCAGGAATTTGCAGAGCTGTCATTGATGCTAAGCTAATAAGAATGTACGATCAACACAGTCAAGCCCTTTCCACCCACCGTGCCCCTTTCGAGACAGGTTCAAAGAAAACGCTCCGGCTTATTCGTGATCCAAGAAAAAGAAGATTGCTCTTCGCCTTGTGCTTTGCACTCGACTAGTACCGATGCTCCACCGAATTGGAACATCAGTTACAGCACACAGGGTGCTGTCGTCGCGGCGGTCCTTTACTGGAGGGATATCATATCAAACGCTGAGGGAATAATAACTGTAATGTTAGTCTAATAATGAACACTGTGCGTATTAAGCAACATCCGATTGAGCAATTCGTCATTCTCAGCGAAAATCATGGCGCTTTTAATCGCCCTCAACGAGATAGTGAACGGAGGGCATAAGAAACTGCAATGTGCGCTTTTGACCAAAACCTGTCACACCGCCTTCCCTGTATAAACTAGTACCTCTACACTTAGAAGGAACGTGGCAGAATACCCCTGTAGGAAAGTCAATAATATTCCTCTTTGCGACGGCATTGCATATTTACTCACCGGAAGTGCAGTAGTCTTGCTTATAATCACAGCTGTGCTATAATATACATCACGATCGTCGGGATTTGTCTGTATCCCCGCGCAAGTCTTGGTCACTCTCGTTCGCATTCGCATATCGCTCAGCCTTTGCATCTGGATCTCTAAATCGACAAGATGCCTACCATGTGGTTATCGGAGAACCAGAGTCAGTCACTCACCTTTAGAGTTACTGAAGGTCATGGCTAACTGATATTGGGGTATAGAAGTCGGCGCTGTCTTTTGCTCGGCCGGTAGGTGCAACCGCTGTGATTATCTACTCTGAACGAGTCCCTGACTAGCTGGAATAGGCGGACTGTTTCTCTTTGGGGGAGTGCTAATGTTCTTCGACCGTGCTCTGTATGTTCTCTGTCCCATGTCCATGTGATCATAAAGACTAACAGTTTCGTCTCCAGACTCGCCATGGGAAATGTACGTCCCGCAACCAAACCCTACCAAAGCAATCCTAACCCACTCACCCAAAACACAGATCCTCTTTCTAATTGGTCTCTCCCTAATAATTGGACTTTCCAAAACCCTTGCCTTCTTCACCCGCCGCCAAAAGATCAAAGGAACCATCGCCTTTGCCTCCGGCATCCTCCTCATCCTCCTGCGCTGGCCGTTAACGGGTTTTCTAGTCGAATTGTACGGCCTGTTTATCCTGTTCGGCGACTTTTTAATTACGATTGGGCAGTTTGCGGGGAATATTCCGGTTGTGGGGCCTTATATTCGCAGGGGGTTGGAGGTTTTGGCGGGGGGTGCGAGGAGCAATGCTGAATTGCCGGTGTAGTTTTTTGGGGGCTGGGGAATCGAGGGTGGTATAAGATATAGGAATAGGGGTGTATTGAGGTGGGATAGATTGTATTGTATGTATGCATTGACACGGCCACTGAGCACCTGTGATGTCGATATGGGTGTGGTGGATTGCATGAGATGACGTGACGCATGAAATAGTAATCATTAATGTTTATTTCTGTTCTTATTAAAGGAATGGAACAAGTCCCAGGGAGTTGCACTCGGGGTCTGAATTAGCTGTGATGTACTGCTTTCAGTACCATTGATATCTACGGTTCTGTATAACAAGATAAGAAAAGGAACCACCATCATAATTCATATTCACACAATCGACAGCGCAAAAGCAACTGTTTTAAATCTTCAATTCATTTTCATTTCCCACCGAACTGCATCTACCGGGGGTTGTTGATGTAGTCAACGAGGTTCTCGACAACAGTTGCGGCGTTGGGGGTCTGCACGGCCTCGCCGTGGTGGGCGACGATAACGCAAGAGACGGCCTTGACGACGACGACACCCTCCTTACCCTGTGGATTGTTAGTGTATCCATTGTTCAGGTGGAGGTAGGAGATCCAGACATACCTTCTTGCCGTACAGACTACGGTCGTCGGCGCGGATGGCGAAGAACTTGTCACCTCCGACAGTGAAACCGCTGGCCTGGACGGAGCCTGGGTCGCGGAAGCCAGCAGCCAAAGCGCTGATCTCCTGGGGCGAGATCTGAACTCGTTAATAAATGTTCGGGAGTTCCGGTAACGGTCGAAATGAGACCGAGCGAGTTCTAGACCGGGTGGCATACCGTGAAACCGGGGGAACTAGCCTCAACGCCGGAACAGTCGTGGCTGAGGATGGCGGCCTTGTCAAACTGGCCGGAACCCATCAAGCTGTAAAAGTCGCGTGTCAGAAGGGTTTTTTATATCATGGATGCGGATGGAGGTGACAGGAGCGAGGTGACGGGAGCGGGGTAACGGTTGCGGGATACGGTACCTAGAGTCAACATAGCCTAAGAGCAGTTAGCATTCAATGTCTATCACAAGTGGTGTAATCCATGCTGGAGCAGAACAATCAATCGTACCTTGCCAGATCGCAGAGTGAGCACCCATGATGACGGTTGTTCGAATAGGAAGATAGGATAGGGAGAGACCGAAGAAACAGATGGACGGAACCACCGACAGGGATTTAAAAGAAAGAGAGGAAAAGGGGGCAGAAAAGGAAAGAGAAGGCGGAAGGACTTTTGTTGCCGGTCAAAGTGTTGAAGAGAGAAATAGAGAGAGGTGAAGGAGAGGAAGAGACCAGAGTGGAAGAGGAGGAGAGGTGGGGTGGCCTGTGCTGGACAACCAACAGAGGGGCTGTCACTATCTCTCTTCCCCGACGGTGTCTGCAACCGTCCGCTGTGCGGCATTGCAGCAGCATTCTTCTTCAATTTTCCACAATACAGATGCCCTACTTTACCCTCTACTCTCCATATTCTTTTGTACAGAATGCTGCCAACCTCATCATGACGGATATTCCCCCCTCAGTCTCTAAAGGCGGTGGGATTAAACTCCCCACTGCTAGTGACTGTCGGTCGAGCTAACCATGGTTTCCTTCTTTACCGCTTGTTCTCCTGATTGAGGCCAAAGCCGTTGGAATGTCCGAAACGAGCTCAATTGGTTTTTGCGATACTAAATCACGTGCTGTCATTGCGGATCATGACGCCTCTCCCTTTCAGGATTGAATTTCAAATCCAACGTTCCTCCGTACCATAGTACATGTCTCAAACACTTTGCTTTTCGCCAAACGAGGACCATCGCGGACATGGAAAAACCCTGCTGCCCATCGTCTCTGCATGATCCGCGCCCTCCACATTGACATGTCTGCATGATCGATGGAAGCATGGTGATATCTTTGGTGAATCGATGGGATGGCCAGACAGTATCCTCTTATTCCATGAACCTGCGTGGTCTGGTATAGAAGAAATGCATGGTTTGCAGAATCTCTAGGTCCCCGTCAGCTCCCCAGTGGAGTCACCTAAGATTGTATAGGAGATTCTGATCTACGTCTTGCAGACAATGATGGCAATTAACCATTTCCGAACCTTCGTGGTTGAAATATTCTCACCTCTACCAGACCAGCTACTAGAGGAAGTACCGCAAGACTTAGGGAGCAACATCCACTGAAAGTGGATGTAAAGGAGTTCGTTTATGTGCCAGGTGCCCCAGAATTAGAAGTCATGATAATTCTCCTTTTTTCATTTTTCGATGTCATATTTAGGTCCTCGATGATATTCTTTTGATGTTTGGCAACACAATCGCAGCAGTAGCTGGCAGTAGAAGCAGATACATTGGACGGACACCTGGGCCGTGCCTGGTTCTACCAATATGAAGGCGAGATTGGTCAGCGCATCAGGGACTTTTGTGAATCTCCGAATCACTCAAGCATGAGGACATATTTTTGTGTACCAAGGTCTAGAGTCACCTTAATCGCTATGAAGATATTCTAGAGTCCTTGGAACTCATAGAAGCATCTGCAACTGGCCTATAATTGCAAGGTATATATTCAGGACTGGAAGGCATTAAAAGCCATATCAATCAATCAACTACGCACTACACTGATTCATGCGCCTTTTCGTCCTTACTATACCAACCCGCCGGTCTCCGTCAGGACTTGCCCGTGCTCACTACCCATATGATCTAATGATTAACTCTAATAGAGCAAGTCGGTTATTGGTCTCCTTCTCTCACAAAACCATTTACAAGATCCAACCCGGTCTCATACCTAATGGTCCCCTACATTATAGGTAAACCCAGGGGCCTAGCCTAGTAGGGGACCGCATCGGTATTCGGACTTCGGTGTAAGCATGGCATGTGAAGAAAAGCTCTCAAGAAGGGATTATCCAATGAAGGCATTCATTTATAAGCATCTAAATATGTAGCTATAGACCTAGACTAGACCATAAAAGGAATCATACATACATGGCCGCAGCAGCCGCAGCCGCAGCCACAGCCCTCCCGATTCCCAGGTTCTCCCCCGCTCCCGCCCCCGCATCCGTTGGCTCTGCAGTTGGTACATTTAACTTTTCCATCCCCGCCGTTACTGTCAACGGCTTATAATAGATGTCATGCAATCCACAACTAGTCTCCCAAGTCCTGCTTGTAGTGGAAACAGAGACAGAAGCAGTCATCGACCCCGTTGATGTTGATGTCGGTGCCGGAGACGTCAGCTCTAAAGTAAGTGACACTGTGCACGATGCGCCGACGGTACTAGATGTGATAATACAATCTTCGATCATGGTAGCAACACCGTTAAGAGCTAGTGTATGTGTTGAAAATACCGCGCTCATGGAATGCGTGGAAGGGCCCTCGGTGACAGTGATGGGTTGGTTGAGGTGGCAGAGGTCGTTGCCTTTGATGCATTGGATGGCGATGGTCGTGGCTGAGGTGTCAGCGGTGACAACGCTGCCTTGTGCGCCGGTGATAGGGAGGGTTGTTGGGGCGGCGTTGAAGAGTGGGAAGAGCGTTGTTTGAGCAAGGGTGGTGGTGGCTGCCATGGCGAGGAGGGAGAGAACCTTCATTGTGGCGTTTCTTCTGATGTATGAATTCAATGGAGGTGACTTAGACTGTTAAAAGAGGGATATATGGAATAAACAATGCCAATACTTATCTAACCCTCCTCCAGAACATCGACTTATTATATACCTTTGTAGCCTGTGAGGGAGTGCAGCACAGCGTCATCATTGACAATCAAAGATATTCAACCGTACCGCGTAGCAAATGAAAGACTTCCTGACCTGTCAGCAATTATGTTAATTGTCCCGTATTCCATACTACATTGGTCCAAAAGGAGGTCCATTCCTATATAAAGTTGAGGGGTACAGAGAGAATCTTTGCGGGGCTGGATGATTCCTCCGAGGTTGCTTTATTCTCCTGTAACATGAAGGTAAGGATTGTCAGTTGTATTAACAATCCCCGCTTCAAGGTTGAATAGTCGATCAGTCATTCGAGTCATGCCGTGTTGAAGATCTTATGAGAACACTGGCGATAGTACGAGAGATGCTGGAGAGATTCAAGGGCACTGGAGAGGCCTGCAGATTTTGTGGCAAAAAAAGAAAAGAAAAAAAAAAGGCGTTGTTAGTCTGTTTATTATCAATAACATCCAGCTCAGTCGATAATGTAAAGATGTAGATATGTGGGGGACGTAGATCGTCGTCTCAAAAAAGTGCACAGGTCAGGTAAACTCCTTGGCTTATTGACACGCTGCAACCATGTTGACTTTACTGAAGGTATCTCTTTCAATTATACTTCGGTCTTCTTAATGTTGAGTCCCTGTATTCACCAGGACTTGGCCATTTTCCCATTGGCATTAGAGACTACGGATGTAGATATATTCGCGGCACTGGATAATGTGTAGACTCATTAATCGTGACCTTGATTCAAGTATGGGTTTGGCATGGCCAATGGAAGCTTGCAGATCGGTATGCAGAGGCGCAACTCGCTTCGGTTGTCATGGAGCGCGGGCACTCACCAACAACGCAAGATGTTTGACTACGTTGGCCTGTTTGAATATAGGGTAGGCGCCCCTTTCGCATAACTAGATAGCGTGGCGCTGGCATGCCCAGCTTGTTCCTTTTATTCTCCATGTTAGTATTCCACTAGATAGTCTACCAATAGACTCATATTGTTTGAGACCGTCACATCTCGTACATAAAATCAGGCGCTTTTAAAATCAATGAAATCGTTCAACCATGGAATGTTTAGATGTATCGGATTGCCCCATTCAGGCGGACAATGAATAATACAATCGCTTTCGGAATGGTGGTACCTAATATACGTCAACCATCAAAGGCCCTTCTTCCGAGTAGAAATGGAAAATAATGAAGAGAAATATGAATGAGGTGCATTTACTTCATAGTGTACAGAACCCTACAATCAAAACTCTCCCGTTATTATACCCAAGAACAGGGATGCCATAATTAGTAGCTGAAGTAGAAAATGAACGATATCCAGAGGGGAGCCATAGAATTCTTTCACCTTCAAAGGCTACCCAACCATTTTCCAAGGATACTTGAGGAGCTCTTGTTTGTACTTGACCATCTGGGGAGAGCGCTACTAGCTGAACTGAATAAGCATGGCCCTCGAGGGTCTGTTGCTCTTTTGATACTGGGTTTCATTTGGGGAACTTTAGATAGTGGTTCCTTTGTAATTGTTGGAAACAGTCTTTTTGCATTGCCCTGACTACCCTCACCTCTCTTTAAAAATAGCTTGCTTCAAGGAAATTGTCCCTTTTGGGTAATGCGGCCACTGTTCATGATATGGTGGACTTTCCAGTTCCCATACCATTTAACCAGAATATACACTGGCTTGAGGGAGAGCTTCCCCACTTTGTGACCTCCTGTAAGATATCGGTTCTGGTTCCAGGGAGGCATTCGCATTTGCCTTTGTCCTCGCCTGTGTAGGAGTCGAAGGAAGCCCCTTCAATAACGTGAAGTTTTTGCCAGATATTGTCTTGTTCTAGCTTATCAACAGTACCTGAGTAGTACTTTATATTATTAGTTCACACACGTTTAAACATAAGTAAGTGGATAGATTATGCCTTTGCATATCTTGAATTTCACTCACTTCTCCAATCAAACTTTCTATTCCCTCAATCAATTCTCTCAGACACCTTGTATCTTCCAAATCCTGTCTACCAACTTTGCAAAGAAGAGCCTTGCAATAGGCAGCTGCGACGGTTGCAGCATAGTGGTGCCATCCGTGTTGCTTGTGGGTGTCGGCATAATCACATATTCCTCGGGCTACTAGACATGGAATCTCATTCATGATGCCAGCTGCTTCCATTTCAAAACATATTGTGTTGTTGAAGTCTCGGCATAAGCGATTTCGGTCCTGAAAATCATTGACAACACCATTACCTGAAGGAATGAGGTCCTGATGAACCCCAGGTTGCTGATGATGGCGTAGAGAGCGGGACACGATCTTCTCACTTGATTCCTCACATCCAATGTAATCCTCTCCTTTGTTTATATGGTGGAAAGCTTGATTAGACAGGATATCATCTATATCAGGTAGTGCAAACATGAGTATCTTGGTGATATTCTTTTAATAACCTTCTGAACGGTTTCCTCATCATCATTTCATCATTTTCCAAAGATCCATCTGCACTCATCAGGATTGATGAAGGCTTATCAAGAGACCCCTTAATAATAAATCTTTCTTACTCATACTTGCAAAAGTCATACTGTATCACACCGGGGTGGTTATCTTGGGGAATGCTGACGGCAATATCTTCCAGTCGGATGCCACAATTCGGGGAGGGAATGCCGGCTCCAATGCCGACCATCAAAGCAAATCGGACGTTTGGAAACTGTTTGCTGACAGCCGTCGCACATTGGGCAGCCTTCACAGTTCCCATTTGATTAGGTCAGGCTATCACAACATTGTGCTCCCTAATGCGTCTGAAAGAGTACACATATTTCACTGGACCGATACTCTTCGGACGACATACAAATTCTTCATCCAGGCTGTGTTTGACTGTGAGAGCTTCATAGAAGAGAGCACAAAAGATTGCAATTGTAATACTTTCAGCGGATATTTCCTCGGGCTTTTCAAATCCCGTTCCCCGTCGGTGCTCTCTATGGGCATTGGAGATCGTCCTGGTCGTTTAGCCACTCCTGACTCAGATATCGACATTTTTGCGCTTTGGTTCCGATATGGTGATCTTGCTGTAATTTAGTTTCAAAAGCGGTATCTGGACAACGGACTCGATATAGATATCAATGATAGTTCCGTGAAGTTTCGTGATAGATGTACATGGAAGGAAATATACTATGAATTAGTGGCAAGGCTATGAGCAGATTAAGCGCCGAACAAGATCATGGTTTCATACTTAATAGCTTTTTCTAAGTGTGACAGCCTGGTCACGTTGGCTGGTTATCACGTGAGATGCAGTTGTTTGCTTTGTTGATAAATACGGCGTCACCCCCTTTCTTCCTTCCTCATGTTGATTATTCTCGTCGATAGCTACCTAGGTAGAACCCATGAGTTGGATAGTCGATTATCCTAGTAGAGCGCCGTGACACTAAGCATACAAGACTTTCGGGCCCTCACATCATTTTATTTAGAAATTTTGATACTATGTAAGGTTTTTTTTCTTTCTTTTCTTTTTTTCACACAAGTCCCATATCTTGAACACCTTCTGGGGTCTTTCAAAACGCATTGTTTAGGGCGAGGCCCGGAATGCTAATGTCTAGCTTTGTTAAAAAAGATTTCGCTTACGAAAAATGGAACGAATGCCTAGTCGCTCTATATATATGTATATGTAGTGCGGCGTAGATAGCTACGGCAGACTGTTGTAACACAATTGCATGAACCCAGATAGCCCCTTGGATAATCTCTACGTCCGGTAATTTCTCCGTCCGACTAAATAAACTGCTTATGCGACAGGCGCAGCCTGTGACATGCATCTTCTTTTTGATGGGTAATCGGATTGGGGTTTGGAGATCTACTTCCAACCCGAACTGATTGGCTACCATTTGAACAGACTCGCTCTTTATTTGTCCGCTTTGTAACGAATCTTACTACACTCGAATTAGTGTATAGAGGATACAAGCACTTCATAGAGGTATGTTTACTGTTTGTTATTTACAGTACATATATTACAGTAGATCCGGTCTATTTAATATAGATTAGGGGTCTTACTGTGCCGCCGAGAAAGCAGCGAAGAGTGTAAATCATGTAGAAGCCAGACCTGCCCGGCACTGTATGTACAAGGCTGGACTCCTTCACCTCCCAGCACAGCCCTCTATCTGCCATTGTGGGGTCCTGCATGGCTTCATATGATTTACCGGAGGAATGATTGAACAAGCAAGAAAGAGCAAAGTTGAGCGAATCGTGCCAGTTTCAGTAGATGACTCGGGGCTATAAACCATAAAAATTAGATCGGCAAATGGAGAACAACCTAGGTCGGCTCCAACTCTTCTCCAGGGTCACAGAGTACATGGTTTTTGGAGTTCCAGCATCTTTTTCGTCACCAGCGAAAGCGCACCCCGGTAGGTATTTATTCTGGATCTTGTCTAACGGTAGATCCTCTGATAATATGTGGGACGTCTGTCGCCTTTTCATTTGTCTGTTTGTAGCAGATCCCTCAGCGATGCCTCAAAAGAGAAGTCTCGCTACCATGGGAAATAGTTTTCTCCACCATTATGGCGAAAAGTCCTGCAAATATACACGTGGGAATTGACTTTTAAATGGCCAGAGAACGCTTAGACAGTTTTCCTAGGCAGTGCGTATATCATGTTACAGTCTATAGTATAACCCGGCTTAGCTACTACTTCAGCTGAGTACCCCGATTGTGCAGTCAGCTATCTGCTGTCAAATTGACAACATCTGAATAGCATGGCTAACAGTACCTGGCCTAATCAGATATTGACATGTTCCTGCTTGGCAGAGTGTTGTCTATCTCATAAATACAATGCTAGATAATATTTCAATACATTAAAGGCAACAGGTAAGGGGTCCTACTCATTCCACTAACAATTGTGATACTAACAGCGACCAGACATAAACTCAATGAATTAAAGTTGGTCTCTTTGACCTTTGAAATCCAGTTACAATTGCCCCGTAAAACTATGCTTATCTTGGCTCTGCAATTGAAACAAATAAATGGACCGATACAAACTGTGCTGATAACCATGACAAAAAGCCCAGGATGTTCCACACTGGAAAACCCCAATATTTTGGTTTTATTAAAGCTTGACAAGGATAGTGCAGAGCTAAAAGGCATGGAGCTTAATGGATTGGCATCCTTATGCACCATGGCTAGAATGTCTGGTGATTCTGGTTGAATTACCAGTCATGCACTTCATTATGGTGGATGTTGAAGTATCCCCAAACCAGTCCTAGGTTTTTCACTTAACACGCTAGACGGACTTCAAAGGGCCAATCCTGGATGAGATAGCATCAACTATAAGGTTATCAAGACTTTTCAAGGCCCGGGAATCTCATCTACGAAGGCGTATCACGCCAAGAGTCTTCATATCAAAACCCGCAGTAAAGCGTAATGTGATCGCTCCTCAACCGTGGATTGAAGGGGTATTGTGTTATATGTGTTTGTATGTTCTGATGATTGGATTAAGACAGTACAGAGAAAGGATGGCATGTGCAGCCCTGTATGAAACCGATCAGCCTGGAGCACCCAGGAAACTGATTTGAAAGCTGACTCACTATTCCTTTCCCTACAAATATTAGAAATGGAAAGATAAAGCAATAGGCTACCCTGGACGCACCTGGAGACCGCATTGGAAACAGCCAGCCGCTATCATCATCCAAAAGAGAGAACCAATCCGTTCCTGACTACGATTCTGTGTCGTATCCACAGAATATAACGCTCGAGAACTGGCTATTATATCTGATATAACACGCCAGTCGCATTGCGGGTTGCTGGTCCTGGATGGGATAATATCAACTATAAAGCTACCAGGAATTGGTTGAGGTGTGGAGGTCTCTCGGGTTCGAAAGCTATACTCTTGGTATTCAAATCAGCGAGTAAGCGCGATGCGATCATTTCTCGGCCGTCTGCGTGCGAGTATTCTATGCTCTAAATTGTTTTTGTTTCTGACTCGCAAGTTGAGATACATTTCTAGATTGAATAAGGTTGAATCGCAATCAGAGAGAATGTTCTATTACACTCTATTTGGAGATCGGCATTTACATGAATAATGTTACCTATTCTACTGGGATATTTTCGCTTTTACATACTCCAACTAAATACCTATAAAGAGTCAATTGAGATTATAGCGAGTATTCAGGGTTATGTGAACAGTTTACACAGGTTTTCTTGGAAAAACACTACGGTAAAGAACACAGTTCCGCTATCAATCGCGAAATAGGGCACTGTTGATCACCATATCCGAAACATTAGCGGCGGCGTTATTTCCCAGTAGCTGGCCCGTGATGTTGACCCTGTGTCTCAGTATTTTACCTGATACAACATCTGCGACTGCCGGCTCCACTGCGGGCTGCCTGGATGCTCTTCTTCTATAATGCCACTCCTTTTCCTCTACACCATGCCATCTATTCTTCTCTTTCTCTCTTGTGTATCCTTGTAACAAAACACCTTCTGGAAGGTTGTTCTTTCATTCTTTTTTTGTTTTTTCTTTTTTTATCCGTATCCGAGACTGCGTCTCGTGCCTTCTCTTCTCCTACTTGTCAGGTACAAGCAATTCAATTAACTTGCAACATGTTGGGAAAACCACACCATCACCACGCACCAGACGTTTCCAGCCCGGTCCTTCATTATACAAATGCAGTGCAACGGAATGACCTCCAGACCCTCGCCGCGACCACCGTGAGCGACCAGCATGCTTCTGACCCCCGAACTATATCACTCCTGGGCCTGCAGCGTCCCAGGACTTCAGAAGGCCGCGACAGACGCCCCAACCTGCGAATAGCTATACCCCCGATGGATGACCTGCCACTTCCCCCCGTCATTCATGACGGTGGTTATGAATCCGACGGAAGTAACCTAATCGGCATCGCATTGGGGAGCCCCCGTCTCGTTCATCGAAGAAACGGCGCCCAAGCAGAACAACAGCACCACAAAAACGAGAAACGACGCTACCACCCCGCCCTTGAAAAACCCAAACGCCCTTTGCAGCGCAAACCCAGCAAATGGCGTAAAATTGGCGGCCTATTCAAGCACAAGGACGCCGCCGCCCCAAATCAGGTTCGCAACCACAAGCACAAGCCCCCGGAATGCGGAGGCGAGCCCGACTCAGGCGTCGAGGATAAGGGTAATTGTTTCGGGGGTAGGACTGGTGGAAAGATTAAGTCATGTCTAGAGGCTAAACGGAGATTGAAAGCAGAGAACACAAGTGCAAACGCGAGCGCGAACGCAAAGTCGGCAGCCAGGGACGCTGATGCGTCTAAGGGAGACGATTCGGCGCCTATGCTAGAGGTTGACATTCCGGATGCGCAGATGGAGAGGTATAGTGTTATGTTTGGGGGGTTGTTTGGGCAAGGGAAGCCGGGGCTTTTGTCGAGGAGGAGTAAGGCAATGGATGAAGTGATTGCGTCGTCGAGGGTATGTTTTTCATCCCCACATATAGTGAAATGATGCTAAAGAGTGTAGATAAACGGATCGCCAGAAACCCAACGACCCAGACGAGCTACTTCCCCAACACGATCCAGAACACCAAGTTTCTCACTCTTCCCAACAACGCAAGTTAGCAAAGCATCAAAGGTCCTGGGCACTTCAAACATCCCCCGCGGACCAAGTCCATTAGCCAGGAGCCAGACCCTACCAACAGGCCAAGAGCAAGAATCTCTCTTAAATGCCTACAGCCCCTTACCATCTCCAATGTCATTCAGATCGCGAACCTCCGAAGTCTCATCCAGCATCGCACCCAATGGTTCAGGGAAAAAAGTATCCGTCAACGTCGGTAAAGACACTATTTTCAAAGCTACCAGCCCATTCTCAGAAAACATCAACGGCAATGACCAGAAACCACCAAAGGCCCTCTCCATTAACACAGACCTCGAACCCCAATCCCCCAATACCCGCAATGCCTCCACAGCATCCTCCCCCGTCCTCTCCCCGCTCGACGCAACCCGCGACAAAGTCAATAGCATCCTCTCCCCAGCAACAACACCAAACGAAAATGAATACACAAACCAGGACAACAAAAAAACCGGAAATCAAGATCTCCCTGTAAACGACACCGAGAACCTCCCCAAAATCGAAATCTCAATTGCGCGATCCGTCTCCGTCTCCAAAAGCAAGAAGAAACAAGTCCTTGTTCCCATTAGGCCCAGAAATGACCAGTTGACGCCCGACAGTCTTGGGACTGGGGAGAGGAAGGGGAAGACGCCGCAGGTTATGGATGGGTATTTTGGACATCGGCCAGGGACGTCGCAGGATGTAAGAATTGAAAATGTTTTGAGTGCTTGAGGCTGAATTATTGCTTGTGGGTGTTATGTTAGGACTAGGCTGACTTGTTTTTGTTTTTGTTTCATATCATACCCTGTTGTGTTGCTTATTCTTTGCTCTTTTGTTCCAGTTTTGATATTCTCTTCTCATTTTTGATGGTAGAGCCATCATTTTCTGCCTTTCAGTTTCTCATTTGTTTTTACTTTCATCTTTCTTTCGAGTCTCCTGGAATTCTAGGCTCTGTCTTCTTCAAGCCCGACGAAATCTATTGGGTTATATATTTCGTCAATGACACTTCATGTTTAGATATTCTTGAGCTTCGTCGGAATTCAACATATTTATCGAGCTAACACTACTATTAGAACCTGTGTAATCCATGAAGCAAATCCAAAGATTATATTTGGATCGAATTGGACTCTTACATAAATCTACGGCCTTAACTTTCAATACCATTTTCAACAAGAATGCGAGAACTTGTGAAAATGACACCAAAAATGACCACTTCTGATGTTCTAAGTGCCCGAGAAAGTTACTGGGCGTGGATTTTGCTGCCCTAAATAAAATTGACCAAGCAATTCATTCCATCTCGCAGATCACAACTGGATAGAATATGTTGAATACGCAACCTGAGGCGTATCTCTATATGAATAGATTTAAATTCAGATATCCGTTATACTACTAAGTATCAAGCACGTGAAAATACCATTAAAAACACCTGAGCATGTGTTGGAGGGAATCATTTTACATAACCCCCTTTGGGTCTAGCAGTTCTGCCTTGACAATCTTGTGGCAGGTCTCAGCATCAACAACTCCATCCAAGGCCTGGTATTCACGCCATGAGTACAGTTCGAGAATTTCTTCCGAGTAGTATTCAATATCAATGAATAAAGCCCATGCAAACTCAAATGGTATTCGCCACTGCCTCTAGATAAAACCATCATCATGGATCTTATACTTCCCGGGTATCGTGGAGTCCACCTTAGAGTCTTCGTGGTCCTTGTCCCAGAGGGATTTCTTCTTACCATGATACAGAACCACCGCAGACTGGCTAGTAGATTTGCCATCTAGGATAGCAACCCATCTTTTTTCGAGATAATCGCCCTCCCTTCCCTCTGCAAAAAGTCGCTGGATGAATTGATGGATCTTATCATTACTTTGGTCCTTGAAACGTCCTCAATCGGTGGATCGGTCCCGTTAAGATCAATGGCTTCTTGAGTAGGGGTGCGCATTAAGGAGAATATGTTTGTAGCATCCTTTGGCTGGGTGGACTTTTCAATGAGCTGATCTGGTACCTGCAATGGAGAAAGATGGTCAGTTTTGGTCTTTTCTTTTCCTTTTTTCTTTTTTTTTTTTTGTTGGTAGTGAACATTCACATACACTTGCCAGAATGTCAGCTGTGCAAAATATTGGGATGACTGACATAATGTAATTATTATCGTGATATAAAGCAGGAGTTAGGGGGTTGAAGGTATATAGAGTAACTCCAGAGAAGCGATTGTGTATGAGCTGATAGAGGAGGCAGTGCAGGCGGCACTGGCAGTGGAGACCATGAGCTTCGGGCGTAGCAAGGCTTACTACTGTACTTTGAAACTTGAATAGTAGAATTGCCACAATTGCAAGGTGTAGGGTTTTATCAACAGTCACTAACAACAGGGCTAATGCATAATGAACTCAGTGCGAGCTTGAACTATCCCTAGAAGTGGAGGCAAGAGGGCACAGCTGCAATCTCCCCCCCCAAAAAAAAGAATGGGTGGCGGATTTCAAATGGACAGAAACATGGATGAATGAGGAATGTAAGAGAGAATTTGGGAAGAGAAGAAGACTTGCGAGAAGACGGGGTCAGAACAGTGATGGAGGGCTCTTATATTGGGAGGCCAGGCCGCGTTTACAGTACGGCGTATCGGGCGACTATATCAGAAACTAACCGCAAAGGGGAATTCACAGGCCCTGGTTTTACACACCAATCAAGCCTTCTCAGGTACACTCGGTTCCTCAACAACCTGCTTCCCCTTCCCGTAATCTAATTTAACCTCCACATTCTCAAGACTCCACTCCATTCCCAAATACGAATCACTAATAACCCTCACATTAACCCCCTTCCCAGAAGCCATGTACTCCTCCAACAACTGCTCGGGGAACTTGACGGACGAGCGCACGAAAGGTCCGTTGTTGTTCTTGCTGTTGTTATTGCTGCTGCCCTGGGCATTTCCAGATCTAGAGCCGTATCCATTTTGGGGAGGCCACGATACACGCTTCAAGGCAAGGAGTTCGCCGTCTTTACCGTCTGATGTGGCAGTGGAGACGATGAGGAAGTAGCCTTCTGTTTGAGGCTTGGGGAATTTGGGGGCGTAGATTTTAAATTCAGAGTCTGGGTGGCGTTTGCGGCGGCTCAGGGAGACGGTGATACCAGTCGAAGACACCCTCGAGATAGATAACGAGAGTTGCGGCAAAAAGGATGCAGCCTTGTTGAACTGTGCACCCGGGAGTCTTGCCTCCTTGATCAGCGAGCTGACAGCACCCGCAGGGAGGGAGGAGAGAGCAACAAGGGACTTCGGGATGGCACGGTGAGGTTTCTCGCCAACGTCGATGCCCGGGAGAATGGACAGCGGGTTGTCTTCAGGCCAGCGGGCTGACTTGATGCACTGCAGCAGAGTAACTAGCATCCGGCATGCGGGAAGGTAGCCTAGTTCTGCCATTGTGTCGATGGAAGCTTGGATGATACGAATACCTTGGTCCAGAACAGAGGTCTGGTCACCGACATAATCAGAAATCGGGAGGTCGATTCTGGACATATACGCCTGGAGAAGCAGGAAGGCCTTAACATGAGGATCCCACATGGGGAGATCGCCCATCGACTCGACGGTCAGGGGTAGATTGCGGGCTAGTTCTGCGTTGATTAGATCCTCGTTGTGTCGGACGGGCAGCTCGTCGAATTCAGTCGCTGAGCACATCCAACTCAACACATCCTGGAATGTGGGGTTGGGCTTCGAGTGCGTCATGAGGTATCGAACGGTCTTGTGAGACAGGTAGTAGTAACTCATGATCTTGCCGAAGGGGGTAGCGTCGACTTCACCAGTGTTGGAGTCGAAGACCACACATGATGACTCTGCCAGATCGCCAAGAGACTTGTCAACCAGTTCTATCATGAAGTCTTGCGCTATAGCCTGGGCGGCCATAGTGTTGTGTTCTTCTGCGGAGAGCTCGAGACCGTAGTATGACGGGTTCTTGTGCAGTCGACGGAAGAAGAACGTCCAAGTCAGGTAGTCAAGAGCATCTTGCTTCGTCGTGATGGTTCCAGCAGAAACTTCGGCCCCCAAGTGGTTATCTAACACCTTGTGCAGAGTAGATTCTACGGGAAATCCAGTATGCAAAAAGTGTTTATAAAACGCCTTCTTTGAGTCTTGCGTAAAAATGCGAGCAATACCAGACGAGTCAAACTGCGGACGTCCTGCACGACCAAGCATTTGCAGAACATCAGTCAAGTCCATGTCCTTGTACCCTTCAATCTTTGCATCGAAATATTGTGTTCCCTTGACCACGACAAGATGGGCGGGAAGGTTGACACCCCACGCGAGCGTACTAGTCGCCACGAGAACTTGAATCTTGTTGTTTGCGAATAGTTCCTCAGACAGCTGACGGTCAGATTCTACCAGACCGGCATGATGCAGGCCAATACCGAAGCTCAGCGCCTCCCGGAGAATATCATCCTTAACTCTAGCGAGGTTCAACTCAAGGTCATCTTCGGACATACGGACCCAACGACGCGGATCGTCTTCCATTCCAACATAGTTGATCAGATCTTTCGCGGTCAACCGTGTCTGTCTCCGAGATGCAACGAAAACGATGACCGGCTTTTCGGGCGAGTGATTCTTGATCGCAAGAAAGGTGGGTCGATTCATCGACTGCATCAACGGGCAGAACCCTCGCTGGTGAGGGAAGCCGTCGATGAATATTTCGAGTGGCACAGGTCGAACAGAGTGTCTGAAGTTGAAAAGTCCTTCCTTGACTCTCAACCAATTTCCTAAGTCGCTCGCATTAGCGCAGGCAGTCGACATACCCATGAGGCGAACGGAGCCCTTTGATTGCGAAGCAATGTAGTTCATACGAGACACAATGATCTCTAGAATCGGGCCTCGATCACCACCCAGCAAGTGAATCTCATCAATAATCACGAGACTGACTTTCCTAACATAATCTCTTGTCTGCCAGCTACGAGAGATACCGTCCCACTTCTCGGGGGTAGTGATAATGATATCAGCATCTCTGATTGTTCGCGTATCAGGAGTGTTGTCACCGGTCAACTCGACCAGTTTTAATCCCATAGGTCCTGTGAGACGACTTCTCCAGTCCTGAACACGTTCGCGGACGAGCGCCTTCATCGGTGCAATATAAACAACCTTTGACCCCGGCTTTTCCCTGAATGCCCACCACATGGCCAGTTCCGCGGCAATAGTCTTTCCACTACCAGTGGGTGATCCAAGAAGGACATTGGCCGCTGTGTGGTAAAGAACGTGGAAGATCTGGGTTTGCATGGGATTAAAATATTGGAAGCGCTGCCCATAGAGCTCCTCGAGGATCGGATTCTTTAGGGCCGATATTGGCAGTGGCTGGAGGTTGAGGAGATCCGTATACACGCTCTCCGTGTCTGGACGGATCAGATGCTGGAACGAAATTGGCGTCACGGTCTCTGCGCCCAACCATCGGTCTGAAATAGCACGGACGTAAATCTGACTCGGCAATGGATCCGACAAAGGAATGGTAAAGTTAAGCTCGTGGTCATCGTGCAACTTCTTCCGGCTTAGGATAAAATACTCATGGTGATAGATCTCCGATGTCTCCGAGTTTTCTACCCAAATCCAGTATGATTCAGAAGCACCGTGGTGTCTATCATTCCACATGAATTCAGGGTAAACGAATAAGCGAATGCGTAACACGTCCCGGTTCAAGGGCGCAATTTCGGCCTCGACACTAAGAGTTGGGAAATTGTCAATAAGTTTAGACAGAGTCTTCCCCATACGCTGATTGTGAACAAGTTGTCCCAATTCCGCCGTTTCCATTTCCCTCATTGACTCGAGGGACGATGAAGGCAGTCTCTCATCCAAATTCTTAAGAATTGGCTGGGGCAGGTCGAATTGATGGAACGGATGATCGAAAGGCCAGACCTGTTTCTCAATAGATTTGCACAAGGACAACAGTACCTGGCACTGATAGCCCCAACGCCGATTTAACGCAATCATGAAGAGAGCACGGCAAATACGGGCCGCATTCTGTGCCACATAGCCAGTGTCAGACACCAACGCAAAGTCTTCAACCCTAGCACGGGAGATATAAGACTGGAGCAAGATGTTGGTCTTAGCCTGAGGAGTATCGACTCCCTCTGCAACCTCTGTCGCAATTGACTCATCGCGCAATTTGATAAGCTCCTTTGCCTCACTGTCTCTAGACTGAATGTTGTCGAATTCACCGCTCATACTGATCATCCTCAACACATCAGCTTCACCTGCTTGGGCGCGCATAAGCTGATTGAAAATCTCGATACTAGGTTGCAAAACGTAGTACTGGCTTGCAATACGCCCGACATCTTTCGCTCGAAGTTCCTCGGTTTTCTCGTTGAAGATAATCATCTGGCTTCTCTGAAGAACCTGCGCAGCTTGAATAATCAACTGGCGGCGTCTTTGAACCAACATAGGATCGTCCAGCAATTCCTCATACCCGATACCATAGTTGCGCGGCTCACGTTTCATGCGCACAAACAGGTAGGAGTATCCCAGCCACTGAACTGCTTCAGCAACGGAAGTGACGGTACCAAGTGAGATCTCGGCGTTCAGATTGTCAACAAGCCTGCTAGAGAAACGAGACTCGATGGGTTGTTGCGAGGTAACGGCCGAGAGATAATGGTTCAATTTATCATGCGTCGTACAGATGAAGCCAATACCTGTGTCTTGAAATTGCGGACGACCAGCACGACCAAAGATCTGCATGACATCCAGAATTCCAAGATCAACGAATTTACCCTCTTGCGGGTTATACAACTGTGTCCCTTTGATGACCACAGCGGCAGCCGGAAGGTTGACACCCCAAGCAAGGGTGGCCGTACAGCAGAGGACTTTGATCAGACCTTCGCCAAACAAGCGTTCCATCAGGTTACGGTCACTCCGGCTCATTCCCGCATGGTGAGTACCAAAGCCACTGGCAAAGAGGTCCCTCAATTCCTTCGCACGAGCATGCTTCATGTCCCTGAGGGCTGTTGAGTAGTCTTCGTGCTCCTGGCAGCTGAAAAGATGCTCGCAACCATCTTCAATGGCCAATTGCCGCAATATGCGAGCAGTCAAGACTGTATCTTTTCTAGAATGCACGAAAACCATGACTTGATGCCCCTCCTCCATCATGGCACGCACCTTTTCGAAAGACACCACATCCAAGTTCTCGCGCGATTGCTTGGAACCAGGTTTTCCTTTAACACCAACGAAGTGCTGCTCGAGGGGAACGGGTCGGAATGACTGATCGAAGTAGAAAAGACCGGCCATTTTATTGACCTTGAGGAAATCCGCGACATCAATATAGTTCGGTAAAGTGGCGGATAGACCGACTATACGGATTAGAGACTGGGTACTTTCAACTTGTCTCTGGGTCCGAGCTACCAATGACTCTATAACGGCACCACGTTCATCATGAAGCATGTGAACTTCGTCAATAATCAACAAGCGCACCTTTTGGACCAGCTCAGTGTCCCCAGTGCTCTTCCGTGTTACAACATCCCATTTTTCAGGGGTTGTCACAATAATTTGGGTCTCCATGATCTCCCGTTTCGACAACTGCATATCTCCAGTAAGTTCACGAGCCCTGATTCCTAACCAGCCAAGTCGTTTGCCCAGTTTTTCCGTGACTTCAGCCGCCAGCGCCTTCATCGGTGCAACATAGACGATCTTGAAATCATCCACCTGGACAGCGAATTCAGTCGCGGTTGGTTCTTCGGCTGGGTTAGGGACCGTATTTTTGCCAATCGCGCTCAAAATGGTCAACATGGCAGCATCAGTTTTACCTGCACCGGTGGGAGCGCAGATGAGCATGTTCTCATTCGTTTTATATGCTACATCATAAAGCAAGCTTTGCATCCGGTTCAGAGTCTTGTATCCCCTGAAGGTACCCTGGCATAGTCCATCCAAGCTCGTAATCTGCACAAGCTTCTGGTTGACTCCCAATGTGCCTACTTTAGATGCCGGCACGCTGATTTCGGTATAATTTTTCTCCTCGGACTGCTCGCTTCCCAGCGGCAGTCCGTACCTCTTCCCTCCTAAAGCTAGGGTGTTTCGTGAGTCGTGCTGCTTAAAAACGTGGGGATATTTCGGTTCCGATCTCGTCTGAGCTGGTAGTAAGGCGGCATTCTTATGTTCGTAATCCTGTTGCCGTAGAGCCTGCTCTCGCTCTGCCTTGGTTTGGAGTTTTCCTGCCGCCAGCCCATCCGTCTGAGCCTGAAGACCCTTATCTTTACTGGATAGAATCTCTCCTCGGTGGGCAATCAGCTCTATGACCAATTCCAGATCATCGAATCCGACTATCTCCGCCAAAGACATTTGCAACTCGTCGTCGCCGCTGTCCGACGCAAGTACTGTGGTGATTTGCTGTGCAATATCCGCCGGATCAAGGCCTTGTCGTGCAGCTAAACCATAGCATTTCTCTTCTAACCACACCTGATCATAGCCCGTCGTAAAGGGGAGAGGGACACCGTTGATATCGTCAAGGTCATCGCTGGTCTCGTCATCAGAACTGATCACGTCCCAGATATCATCGACCGTTCCGGGGGATGAATAGTCATCATCCAGATCCAACTCCAGATCGCTACCGTAAGTAAGCTGCTCCGGGGCGGGGTCCTTGGGGAGCTTCAAACCCGCAATGGCCTCATGCATCGCGGCCAGCTGGACAAGCCACTGCGACTCTGAGGCATCTACACCATCCATCTTTGTTCCTGTCTTCCAACGTAGACAAATGCACTGTGGATCAGATTGATATCAAGAATAAGAGTTGGAGAGATATGTAAGAGTCACAGCAGTTGGATATCGCGGGCAGAATTCTTGACCGCCCACGAGGTAGTCATGCCTGAGACGGCGATTGACCCGGTGGGTCGTCCCGCCTCAGGCCACAGGGCGTTGACGACCCTGATGCGGAGAGCGGCGACGTTGCTGTCATCTGTCTTTGGTGAGACGTCCCTATTGAAGCCACCTATTTTCCCAAGGAGTCGCTCTGCCTTTGCATCGCTTCGCTAATACTGCCCTCTAAGTCACGAAGTTCCATAAACGGAGAGTGCTCTTTTCTGTTATTGTTATACAGCGTGTCTACCCCCAACCGACACCGACAAGCCACCAAATCTCCTTATCTCACGGCTGAACAACGCCCACGCTACCACCATGAAGATCTTTTACATCGGTGTATGTCTTCCAGCACTTTCAGAAGGAAATATCTATTAATGATAATCATGCGCCTAGGTCCTGCGAAACGACAGCAAACCCGCCCTCGAACTCTGCGGCGAACGAGACCTCAGTTCCTTCTCGCGATTCACACGTGACAGCTACAATGAATTCATGATGCTGTTTTGCAAGACGGTGGCGGAGCGCACGAACCCCGGTCAACGACTTGACATTGAGGAGAAGTCATACACATTCCATGCCTACGGCCGGACCGAAGGCGTGGCTGGTATCATCATTTCGGACGGCGACTATCCGGCGCTCGTTGCGCACCAGCTTTTGTCGAAAATCGTCGATGAGTTCTTGGCCAAATATCCCCGGACAACCTTTTCGGACCCGTCTACGCGCGAAAACTCGTGCCCGCTTCCGCAGTTGAAGGAATACATTGTCAAGTTCCAGGACCCTGGTCAGGCAGACAGCATTATGAAGATTCAGCAGGAGTTGGATGAGACAAAAATTGTGCTGCACAAGACTATTGAGGGGTATGTCACAATCGTTGCTTTCCAGAGGCAAGGTCAAAATTTGCTGATTTGATATAGTGTCCTGGAGCGAGGAGAGAAGATTGACAGTCTCGTTCAAAAGAGTGATGGCCTGAGCTCACAGAGCAAGATGTTTTATACTCAGGTATGCTTCATTCTCTGCCCACCATTATTCCACTTATAGGCGAGGGTGACTTACATATTCAAACAGGCCAAGAAGCAAAACTCATGCTGCACCATCATGTGAATACTTTATGAGCAGTTTCAACCCTTGTCGCTTTCGCTCCCTAATGATATCAACCTGGCGCTAGTCTTTTGGATTTTACGAATCAGATATTGTTAGACTGATGTATTCTCGCTTTTTGAATTTCGCACCCAAACATGTTACGCAAGTTCTAATATGCAGATGTGCTTCATACTTGACAATAATTACAGAGACAGCATATGAAAATATAAATGACAGACGTTCCTTATAATTTGAGAAATATTCGAGAATTCTCAAACATCCACTCAATGTTATCGAGCTTGACACTCAAATGAATAACCATCAAAAGTCCACACACCGATGGATGGATGCCCTGGCAAACACCGCTGAAACGAATTCCCTCTTGCACATGTTCTCTACATTTTCACTCGGTAACATTCAGAGAGCCGAAAAATTCGCAAACAGATCCTGTTCAGATCCGGGGCGATGCGGTCTTAGCCTGCGCACATTGTCTGTTACGAAAATTATTTTCATCAGTTCACATGCTTGAGCTGGCCTATCTTCTTCACAACCCAGACGCAGGCATAGGTTCTGGAGCTTTGATGGCAGAGCCGTAGTCACGTCGACTGAATCTGTTGGCCACCGGTCCAAGCAGAGCAAAAATGCCGATACCTCTGCGGATTTGAGGTTTGGAAACACAGGGTATTGCAAGAGGGAGGATGAGTTCCTCCACTTTATTTGCCACATGGCGACATGGGTAGGGATTTTTGCCATGGAGAACTTTGGCCCATATGGAAGTATTGAGAAACACAGCTTCTTTAACGAATGCTTCCGCCTGGCGTAGGACATCGTTCAAATTGGACTTGTCTCTATTGGGCTTCCACCTTGAAATACACCCAGGGAGGAAGCTAACAAGTCGTATCTACAACGCACACCCCGATTGCCGCAGAATGGTTCGTAGCAGTTGCAACACACGAACTCAAGGGACGGGCTCCCATCTCAGAGGAACAGTTTAGTAAATGAGGTTTCACATACACAGAGGTCTCTCGATACTTGTGAAATGGATAAGAAGAGTCTTCAAACGAGAGGGAATCGGAGACATGTCTCCAATAATCAAGTGGTAGCTAGGGTAACGAGTTTCTTCTTATTGATATAGACTATGTGAATGTTCATATTCAAAAGAGGAATTGCTTGTTCCCTGACATTCTGACCTCAGCCTCATCATACAGACGCGCTAGCCTTACTTGGTTAGCGTGGTATTTAGGCAGTATACGAAGTATACGAGTGAATGCCATGATTTTTGCGTTTAGTGAGTCTGGTTTATTATTTATATTGCCAGTTCCAGCCAGCCTTATCATCCTCAGTCTCATCATCTCCAGCACTATTATTCCAAATGGCTTTTCCAATAGTCATATATCTTTTCATCACCCTAATCTCCTGGCATGTCTGGAGTCAGATCACCTCACGACGTCTTCCTCCCGGCCCTATACCCCTACCTCTCATCGGTAACATCCACCAACTCTGGAGTCCAGCCCCCTGGAAAGTTATACAGGTGTGGCACAAGCAATATGGCCCTATCATCACGATCAGACTTGGTCCCATACCCATTATCTGCATCGGTAGCCACGATGTCGTTCGAGATCTATACGAAAAGCGAGGTCGAATCTACAGCTCGCGACCGCGGATGATATTCCTCAACGAATGCATGTTCGAAGGACACTTCCCAGCAGCGCAACCTGATGGTCCGTATTTGAGGATCTTGCACCGTCTGCAGTATGCTGTGTTGAATAAGAATGCCACAGACTCGTACCGCTGCGTCCAGGACTTAGAGAGCAAGCAGGTACTACATGATTTGCTGCTTAATCCTGAAAACTTCAAGACGCACTTCGAGCGGTATGCATCGAGTATTACGTATTTACTGCTGTTCGGTAAGAGAATTGTCCATCCAGATGCCAGCGAAAAGCAAGAAGTTGACCGATTTCTACGTCTTTTTGTCGGGGCAAATGGGCTCTCAGATTCTCTGCTCGACATTTTCCCCTTTCTAAATAGTCTTCCCGGGCCGTTTGCACCGTGGAAAGCTACGGGGAAGAAGGTCAATCAGGAAATGAAAAGAATTATCAGCACCTCACTGGAACAACGACGGGGATGGAACTGGTCTGAAGAAATCATGCATCGCCAAGAAACTTCGAACCTGCCACCCGGTGGATTACAATGTCTTCTTCTCGAACTCTACCTCGCCAGCTCAATGACAACATATATCATCCTCCAGTTCCTCATTAAAGCTTGCGCAGTACACTCAGAGGCACTGAAGCAAATGCAAACCGAAATCGATACTGTTGTTGGCGACCAGAGACTCCCAACCTTCGATGATGAGAAGAACCTACCGTACCTAAAAGGCTTCATCAACGAAGTACTTCGCTACTACCCCCTCGTCACCATAGGTGTACCTCGCACCACGACACAGCCTGATGAATACATGGGATACCGTATTCCGAAGGGATCTATCGTTGTGGCCAATAACTGGGGTCTTGACAGAGATGAAGAGCTACATGACCGCCCTGATGAATTCCGGCCCGAGCGGTGGATTGAGAAGCCTGGTCCGCGCGTGACCGTATTCGGATTCGGTCGCAGGGCTTGCTCAGGTGAGCATTTAGGACGTGCTTCTTTGTTCATCGTTCTCGCTAGGTGTCTTTGGGGCTACGACATTATTCCTCGTCCCAACCTCGATAATACACAACAGCCGGAAAGTGGCAACGCGGTTTTTAGTGTCCCCGTGGTAAATGCTGAATTTCGCCTTAGAAGTCCTGAGCGCCGCGAGATCATGGAGAGAGAGTGGTTGGTGGCTGAGAAGGACGAGGGTAAGATTATGACGGATCTCGAAGCGAGCGTGAGCCGTCGGCCTGCTTAAAAATTCATTGTGGTTTTGCAATGTTATTCCTTATTCATTGTGTATCTTTGCTTGTGGGGATTGAAGGTAAAATGGCTGGCTGTATTTAGAGAAGGTGGAGCATGAATCATAGGATCCAGATACTTCCGCAAAATTGCAGAGACAGCAGGTATCGGTTAGTTGTAGACATGCCGTGCAATATTTGGTGGGCTAATTGCGCGAATCCAGCTTGAACGTAGTGATTGATCGATGTAGCCCTATGGCAGAATATATATCGTGCTGTGTGCACTTCCGATCCACCATAACTACATTTCAGCAATTCTACCGCCTTCTCATCACAAACCTAGTAGCACAATTACTCTGCACTCAGTCCATAACAATAACCATATGGTGCTCGTATTTGATTCCATCTGAATTCCGTTTTTGGAACCCATGAAATGAAGCACATATGATGTAATGTCGTGAATCGAAGGTGACAGATTCTGATTTTGAATCTCTCAAACACCGTTGGCTCTTCAACTATTCCCAAATTTGGAATCCATAGACTGGAATTGTACCAAGCGCGCTCCTCTACGCACAAGTACACCGTCCGTTCCAGGTGTGGTCGCATACCAGTCATCGCCTTGCGTCTTCGACGGGAACGACAACTATAGCAAAGCAACTCGAAGGACCTTCGCCTGTCTCGAATTTTGAGATTGATAGGCATGGCCCAAAAAGTAACCGAGACGCGCGATTCCGTCCAAGATATCTATGGTCCTCGCACTCCGTATCAACATCAGTGGCCCACACGGTGTGATGTTCACACCATTGACACGCCGGACAAATGGGTCCAGAGTGCGTGTATACTTTGCAGGTAAGCAGAAGATTTCCGAAATAGACTAGTTACTCCCTGGGCGGTGCTTATAACTTCAAGTAATGGATGCGGTATGGATATCGGAGTGAAGAATGGAAAGGTTGTTGGTGTCAGAGGCCGCACGACAGATCGTGTCAACAAGGGGAGATTGGGTCCGAAGGGATTGAATGGGTATGCATATCATATCCGTACAAAGTGGCTCATTATATGGGCCCTTCATGCTAACATTGCGACAGGTGGATCACTATAGGCCATCCAGACAGATTGAAATATCCGCTCGTTAGGCGAAACGGCAAGCTTGAGCGCGCAACATGGAATGAGGCGATGAGCCTTATTGTAGAGAAGGCCAGTGAGGTTCGTTCTCGTCTAACGAACCATGGTATTGGGTTCTATACCACAGGGCAGCTCTTTATTGAGGAGTACTATGTCCTTGCTATGATTGGAAAGGCGGGTCTAAACACGCTGCATATGTAGGTAACTACTCGTATCAGCATAATCAAGTTGCTCATACTATTAGGGATGGCAATACACGACTATGTACCGCGACCGCCGCAGCTAGCATGCGCGAGTCATTTGGCTGTGACGGCCAGCCCGGATCATACGCCGACGTTGACTACACAGAATGTTTATTCCTGTTCGGTCACAACGTTGCAAATACCCAAACAGTCCTTTGGTCCCGTATGCTAGATCGACTAGATGGTCCAAAACCTCCAAAGTTGATTGTGGTCGATCCCAGAAGGTCCGAGACGGCTAAACGGGCAGATGTTCATCTTACGCCCAGGAGTGGAACCAACGTGGCCCTTTTAAACGGGATACAGCATCTTCTGTTTAAGCATGGCTGGATAAACGAGGAGTATGTTGCCACGCATGTTGTTGGAAAAGATGAGCTCTGGAAGACAGTCGAAAAGTATACGCCAGAACACGTGCAAGAAATCACTGGGGTTCCTCCTGATCAACTAATGGAGGCCGCCAGAATAATAGGAACGACAAGGAGTCTCCTCTCAACTGCCCTTCAGGGAGTGTATCAATCCAACCAGGCTACAGCAAGCGCGTGTCAGATCAACAACATCAACCTCCTGCGTGGACTAATTGGCAAACCCGGTAGTGGAATCCTTCAAATGAACGGACAACCAACAGCGCAAAACAACCGAGAGACAGGCTGCGACGGCGAGTACCCCGGGTTACGAAACTTTCAAAACCCGAATCACATGCAGGATATCGCTGATATCTGGAATATCGACTACATCAAAATGCCACACTGGAACCAACCTACGCACATTGAAAACATGCTAACCTATATCGCCGGAGGTTCGATTGAGATGTTCTGGATCTCAGGGACCAATCCTCTAGTTAGTCTTCCTAATCTGCCCAAGGCTCGTGAGCTCCTGACGAAGCCCAACCTGTTTGTCGTGTGTCAGGACATCTTCATGACTGAAACAGCGGCTATTGCGGATGTTGTTCTTCCTGCAGCACAATGGGGAGAGAAGACGGGTGTTTTTACCAACGCAGACCGGACAATGCACATTTCATTAAAGGCCGTGGAACCACCTGGCGAAGCACGTGCGGATATGGATATCTTCCTCGACTTTGCAAAACGAATGGACTTCAAAAACAAAGACGGTAATCCACTGGTCCCGTTCAACGGCCCGGAGGAAATATTTGAGGCATGGAAACGCATGTCTTTTGGAAGACCCTGTGACTGCAGCGGACTTGGTTATGAGATGCTCCAGGGAGGATCTGGTATCCAATGGCCGTGCACGGAAGCGTACCCGTTTGGCAAGGAACGACTGTTCCAGGATGGCGTCTTCTTCACAGATATCGAGTATTGCGAGAGCTTTGGTCATGATCTCGAAACAGGGGCTCCATTGACAAAGGAGCAGTACAAAACTCTCAATCCAGCAGGACGGGCAATCTTGAAGCGCGCACACTACAGGCCGTCATTGGAAGAGGTGAGCGAGGACTATCCGTTGCATCTCTCAACGGGACGGAATGCTCTTCACTTCCATACGAGAACGAAGACAGGGAGGAGCAAGCGACTTCAGGAGGCTGATCCTGAGCCATGGGTCCAGATCTCGACTGAAGATGCAGAAGCCTTAAAATTGAGTGAGGGCGAAATGGTTGTGGTCAAATCAAGACGAGGAGAGGTGGAACTACCGGTCAGGATTGGAAACATCTCTCAAAGCCACATCTTTATCCCGTTTCATTTCGGATACTGGGATGCAAAGGATGACCGGTCCCGGGCGGCGAATGAGTTGACAATTGGTACGTCACCTTATTCCCTGTTATTGTGATATCAACACTAATCAGACTAGAACAATGGGACCCCGTTTCAAAACAACCAGCCTTCAAATCCGGTGCCGTGCGCATTGAAAAAACCGTCCAAAAAGAGGGCCAAGAGAGACAGCACGCCAAAGAGCAACAAACAGCAGCCATCCACAGTGTCGAGATGAACAAGAAACATACAACCAGCATCCCCCAATCACAAACCAACCAGGACAGCCCACCCCGCGTCCGCAGACTAGAACTCTGGCTCGGCACCACATATGAAGCTATGCATATGCTAATTGACTTCTACGACCACCTCATCCCACGCCTCATTCATGACTTCGATGTGCAATCAGGCCTGCTAGTGATGCATCGCATCGCGACAGAAACCTGCAAACGTTTCAAGCCGATAGTCGAGAAATACCATGAGAGTAAGCAATATGGACGCTCCGTCTCTCAGCGTCTTCTAGACACCATTATACCCAAGGATATTAGCAAATCAGATCCATACGAGGCATTGGCGGCGCTGCAATCGCTGCAGTTATTCCTAACGTATATTGATGATCATTTGGTTGCATTGTTACCGGCTAGCCAGGCACTTTGGGATAAAGACTTTCTGGATGCCGTTCTGTTTGGGCAGGATTCTATTAGGAGACAGAAGGCTTGGGCTTCGAATCATATTAAGACGAAAAGTCCGCAAACATTACTTGTGCCAATGGCCATGCCCGAGGATTTGAATTCGCCAGATTCGAGTTTGGGGGGGATTTTAAAGTATTAGCATCATTGAATTTGACATGTATAGTAGTAGCTGACTACCCCTGTTGTGATGGGGATGACTTTCGTATACTTTGCGAGGACCTGCCGTCCATACACATGTTGGCAGTAGTGTTGAATGTTGCTGATATTGCGGTGTGAAACGGACCACATTTGGTGTATGTAAATGATATCTAACAGTATATTCATCGTCTTAGAATATTGTTCGCCAAGTCCAGCAGATCCCAAGAGTGTAAAGACGCCCATGCATCACAGCTCGGATCTATAATCGCAACTTGTTAATACGTCGCAACTTCCGCATCCCATACCATGAAGCTGAGAGTATGCCAGTGACTGAGAGCGAGACCACAACAGCAAAAGCATGCGCACTCTCCTCAGAATAGTTGATCACATTCATGCCATACCAACCTGCAACAAGAGTAGCCCACGCCAGCGCAAGCATAAGAATCTCAATCTTTGCTTCCAGCACCATGATCTGGTTCCGTCGCACACTCAGCGTGGACTGGATTGTTTCTTCTGTGCGTCGAATATTGTCCATCAGGCTCACTGCCTCCTGAACAACGGAGTCGCTTGCCTTGAAATAGGCCTCGAATAAGTACTCGACATCTTGGTGATCCTCTAACGCATGGGGCTTTCCGGCCCTCTTATCGCTAAGGTACATGTTGACCATGTCTTCATCCTCATTCAACACTTCCTGCACGACATCTCGCACCTGGCGTGCACGCTTTTCAATAGTTGCGAGCTTCCGCGTAAGATCGAGGATTATGCGTAGTTTACTATGGATGACATTTTCTTCCTTATCCAACGTATCCAAATCGCTTTTCTGCAAAGCATTCGAGAGTTGTTGTTCGACCAACATATACTCTGCTTCGAGTACTGATGTTACGGATGCAAGTGCAGCTTCTACCACTCGTAGCTCGTAGGGCTGACTAACTGACAAACCCATCCCATGGCCGTCACGTAGTTTTGCTTCGAGGTTGTGACTGAAAACGCGCGACACACTGTGGTCATCATCACTGGTGTTTTCCCGTGGCCCGTAGCTGTAGCCTTGGTCGTGGCCGGGATTTATACATTCGGTAATATGAAAAAGCAGCACCTGATCGTGCTGGACCAATAACCGCAAATCGAACAGGTGAATCAATATTGTATTTTCCCGGACCAGGATATATGGGAATCCACTGGATGGCAGGTCAAAGACGCGCAGATCTCGCGTACTCACGCCATACCTGTCCGTAATGTCAAGTTTTGTCAGCTTGCCGACGAGTGCTGCAGCTCCATTACTGTTATGTAGTGTGTACTGCATCAACGCATTTCCGTTCATTGGTCGTTGTGAGAGCCGAAGAGATAAGTCGTAAACTCGCCCTGAGCCCGAATTTCTCTCCTCTAGTCTGCTAGCAGTATGCATTACTCGAAAGTCACGCATGCATTCATTGGGCAAACCCTGCCAAGCGGTGTTTCCCAGGAATCGTGATGGGCCGGCCATCGCCGTTCGCGGAGGTCGTGTATTGCATGCTTGGATTATTTTGGACCAGGCCTTGGCTCGACTTGCGCGGATAAAACACGGCGGATGGAATAGCATTGCACTTGGACAGGCCTGGTATACATTGGCCCGTATCCTTGACTGCAAATGTTATGAAGCTGCACTTCGTATTCTGGGAAAGCGGTGATGGGCGGATGTATTCCGGGCTCAGTGGGCATAAAGCGGCGTGAAGTCAAGCCGAAAACGCAATGGGGAGTCCCATGGTTTCCGGACAACATCCAAATAGGTAGTGGTAATACCAGTGGTAAGTGGTGGTAGCACCCTCGTGTACTGCTTGACATCGATCGAATCGCGATATTAGCAAATGACGTCATCATGATCTCATAGCATTCTCTTCATCTATCCACTCTCACGGAAAAACCATCCACCAACCATGGCATCCCTCAAGCCTCTATTGCTAGCAGGAGGAAGGTCATCGCGAATGGGCACGCGGAAGGAGCTTCTTCGTATAGACAATGAGCCGATGTACAAGCGTCTGATCTCTGTCCTGCACGCCGCATGTCCTGAGTCCGATACGGCATATTTATCGCTAAGGGACCGGAGTTCTGCGCAGGCCCTTTACGGAAATGACAACGTGGGATGTTCACCTAATGATGTGCTAAAGCTAAATGTCGGGGGATCAGCATTAACCGTCCGGTTAATCTACGACAATGACGACGGAAGTCCCCGAGACGAAGATGCAGACATTGGACCAGCAGCAGGACTCCTTTCTGCACGTCGCCAGGATTCATCGGCTACCTGGCTTGTAGTGGCGTGCGATTACCCGTTTTTAACGACTGCGGCGTTGCGGTCTCTACGCGGAGAATCCGAGTCCAGCAGGGCGCCTGTTACGTGCTTCTCCAACACAGAAGGCTTCAACGAGCCACTTCTCGCAATCTGGACGCCAGATGCTCTACGTTACCTCCAGAAGAACGTCGAACAAGGGATACTGGGTCCTAGTGCGGTAGTCAAGCGCCTACACGGTAGGACACTACGGCCAGAAAACGAGCAATGGCTGTTTAATGCAAATGACTGGAAAGAGTGGCAGCGGGCACTGGACATTAAGCGGATTAATTAATTTCGACTACCTCTAGTTAAATACGTTAGGAAACTTGGTCATCATTCATTCAGGAAGACATCGACAATATCTCCCTCATACAGGTCCGATTTGCCTTGGGGAATATGAATCCAGCAGTTGGATCCCAGAAACGGTTTAATTTTGCCGGGACCGTGGTCGTTTATGAGCATGACATCTAATTTGCTTGCCTCGTGGCGGTGGAATACGCCTGGACGGAAGACATCTTTGTCTACTGGGCATGTTGATAGCAAACTTCCGAATCCGTTTGTGTCATGTTTGATGGCGCCATTTGTTTCCAAGTCGTTGTGGTATCGTCGTATTGTCGCTTTAAATGCAGATTCCGGTGACTGGCCTTGCAGACGCTGAACATATGGCAGGACGAGGAAGCGGAGGAAAGCAGCGCTGGCGACAGGGTTGCCGGGCATGCCAAAGAAGGCTGTCTCGGGTCCATTTGCATCAGGCATAGGAAGCTTTGCAAAAAGCCCCGGATGTCCAGGCCGAATAGCGATCTTATGAAAGACGACCCGTGCAAAAAGATCCTCTAACGCAGCCGGAATCAGATCGAATCGTCCCGTCGAGACCCCCCCGGTACTGATGATAATATCGTATTTGTTCCCGCGCAGACGACTTTCCAATTCCGATACCATTGTTTCAGCAACGTCATCCAACACCCCGAGAAAATCAACGTCAATACACCAGTCCCGCAAACAAGCCGTAACATATGGGCCGTTAATATCCTGAACCCGACTCCGTGCATCCGCCGACAACTCATTTCCTGTCGAAAACACCCCAACCTTTATCCTCCTCACCACCTCAACCTCTTTAACCCCGACAGCCGCCAACGCCATGATATGTCTGGGTTGTATCCTTGTCCCAGCCTCAACCACAATGTCCCCTTCCGAAAAGTCACCCCCCGCCAACCTCCGATTTTGGTTTGCGTCCAGCGGCTTGACAACCTGTATATACCGATTCCCCGATGGTCTCTCTCCCCTCCCAACCAAGACATCCACATCCTCTAATTTCACGCATGCATCAAATGGTCTTTGATCGCCCTCAATCGCCTCCGGAAAGCATGCGCCAGTCATGATCTCCACGCACGGATACACCGAAGCATCAGAATCGGGTTCGCCGGAGATGACCATTGCTGCGTCGCCTGCGGCCATTGTGCCTGCAACGTGAAAGACGATAGGTGTAGAAGGGGAGGCTGTTCGTGTAGCGGCGGCGTTCAATGCGTAGCCGTCCATGGCGGATGTGTCATGCTTGGGTGTTGAGAAAGGGCTGCGGTACTCGCATTTCGAGATGCGATTGAGGGCGTCACATAGCGGCACTGTCTCTGTTGTTGGTGGTGCAAGTTGTGCTTCGGTGGTGAGGAGATCTAGGGCTTCGTTATAGGATGGCATTTTGCAGTATGTATTCAATAGTGTAGTTCAATGGAATTGGAGGTTGTCATAATAAAAGTATAACGTTCTTGTTGACAATTAGGTTACATTTCGTCAATATGATGTATTCATGCTGAACTAAATTAGCCTTGTGTGGGAGATCCCAGCCTCATCCTGCCTGGCTGTTTTTTTCAGCCAATCATATCGCCGTCCAGGATACAAGTCACCTTCCCGATCCGGAATGTATGCAAATCTCCACGTCAGGTATCCACTGTGTCCACACATGGTACTTTGTACAGCTATCAAACATTCAATACTTGTTATAGGACTCAGTTAGACCGCATTTCATGCTCCAGACTCGCCAATGTGAATGCTGCAATCCCATGTAGGCTGTTATAAGCCACAGGCTCATTGACATAATACTGCAGTAGTTAGCGCCACCGGACTTTTGATTTGAATACGGAGAGGAACTCACCTCATAGGTTGCACTCGAATTCAAACTACAGACCCCGACTGTGCCGTTGAACCCCAGCAATCCATCGCCTTCATCAACCACATATTCCTGCAGTATGTGGTTATAGCATTTCTCTGCCACGCCCGTATATTCCTCTTCAGCGGACAACAACCCGAGACGAGAACCTTTCAGCAGACCATAAACAAGCATCCCCGATCCGCTTGTCTCAATATAATTCCCCTTTGCGTGTGGCAGAGTCACGACTTGCCACCAGCAGCCGCTGTCTTTGTCTGCAGCTGAGAGGACAGCATGCACCAATTCCGTATATTGTTGACGGATGTATGACTCCAGTTCTTTCGGAAAGATATCATGGGGGTGTACAATGTCGTACACATCAACAAGCGCCATGAAATACCACCCTAGCGCTCTGCTCCAGACATACGGGCTACCCCCAGTGACGGAGTTAGCCCAGGAGGCTTTCTTGGCGGAGTCGTAGCCATGTACCAGAAGTCCGCTGCCATTACCCTCACTGGCAGAGGTGCTTTGGTCTTGACAATGTGTCCACAACAACTCGAGCTGATGAATCACATCCCCCGCGACGGTGGTGGCATTTCCAGGATCGAATCGCTGTGTATATTCCACTAAAAATGGGAGAAGGGAGTATGTACCGTCGAGGTAGCTCCAGTTGGGATATGTGTAGAACCAGTATCCGCCGTACTGGTTTCGGGCTTGGAGGTTGACTGATTGGCGGAGAGCATGTAGTGCGTTTTTGACTGTGGTGTTTCGCGATTTATTGTATCTATACGCATGCACTGTTATTAGAAATTGATTCGATTAAATTGAAAAGGAGGGAGCATACAAATGCGCCAACCCATCGCCCGTCGCAAATCTATCCAGCGGATAACCCGTGTCTCGCGTTGCATTGGTCAGATAGGGGAGTAATCCCTCCGAGCTAGACTCCAGATACCCCTCCCAGTCCGTGTTTGTATCAGTGCATGCGCTTTCAGTCGTTTTATGGTAAGTCAGCGCGCGCAGGACCGCAGTTTGGAAGAAGCCGATTTTGAGATAGTCCGAGAATGACGGGTGGTCTGTTATGGCGTCGTTGCGCGCGATGACACTATCGGCCATGCGCGTGGAATATGGGCGATCGCATGTTGACGCAACGTCGTGGATTAGGAGCAGCATACAAGTTGATAAGCTGAGCCGCATGGTGTATGGTTTTGGTACGGTACTTTCCAGTAGGGAGCTGAGAGATAATTAGTTGAATGATCTCCGGCCGTTCATTGCCTTGCGACTATGGCAAGAAGATCGGAGACTTTTGACTAACCAACTAGCGGTGTCTTCGCAATTGCAATTTTCAACGGAGGGGTATGTCGATATAGCAACATATCTTGATACACCTTATTGAGTGGCAGCGAAGACGAAGCTATGCAAAGCGTTGCAATCGTTGCAGCCCTGTGCAACATTCGCTGAGTTCTTTGCTTGAAGTCCGTTATAGAAAATTCCCGGCACACAACCATCACCATGCTTAAGCGGAAGGTGGAACTCATTCCTCCTAGGATAGGTGGACTGCAGGGTCTGAATATGACAGTACTTCCAAAGGTAGTTCGAGCCTGGTCAGTGAGGTGAGCTATAGAAAGCAAGATAAGGAAGGACCCGATGTACTCACGATCATTATGGAATTTGAAATTGTCGAGCTCATCTTACCCAGACTGCGTTGAAAGCCTCGCCAGCGTTCAAGGAAAAGTACATCCATCACATGCGACTAATGCCACGATGCTACTTCATCAAATTGACAGCTTCCGATGCTTTTGGATATTCCCGAGAGTGGATGGAGCCCAGCAATCCCACCACCAGAACCAGACAACCAGGCCTTCAATATCAGAATCGAGCTGTCGAGATAGAGCCGGGTGCTGCCCTTGCTACGTTCAGTGTGTATCATGTTGCACGGATTGAATCTTGGGATGTGAGAGCTCCATGTTGAACTTTTAGGAAAGGACCAAAACCCCTTTACTTTGAGGATCAGATTCATATAGATAACCAATTGCACGAGCGAATAGCCACACGTCATATCAGTTGGTGTCTCAGAAGGATTGTAGCTGGTTTTCAAAATGCCATAGCAGGTACAGCGGCACCAGACACGACGGCTTATTTCCATGGGGCAGCGGCTGCACTTAGGATATCTCACACTCTGGAATTGTGGCTTGGCTCTTGTTTGGATCTGATGGTCGGGTTAGCAGGTCTTGGATTTGTGGACTGACTGTTCTTAGCAATGAGGGAAATATACCAGAGACGACAGACCCTGGGCCCGCTGGTTGTCTGCAGAGCAAATACCAAGTCCGTCCCAGGTGGATATTGAATCACTCCAGAGCATTGTAGGGCTATAGGCGGCACCAGAATTTGTAAAGAGAAAAGGATAGGCAATATGAGGAATGCAAATTGCAGTGGTTTGTTTTTGTTTGTTCCTGTTAGCCGATCCTGTTTGGGTCATGACAAGTCAGCAGAGCAAGGCAACTACCCCATGTCTATAGGATCCCTTAACAGGATGTGGGAGGTTTCAAACATTTTCCTTGAAGATGAAAAATCATACAAGAACTCCCCAGCAAACGCACCACCCACAGCATGGTTGTGACTAATGCAAGCTACTTGTGCCTGCTAATTAGGAGATGGATGGCTTTTTACTTATAGTGTAAAGAAATTACTGTTACACTTGTCATACTTGAGATGCATGCTGTCATGCTTAATTGACAATCACTCCACAGATCCTTGATAGTTTGCCTTCAAATATCAATTCTGTATTTTAGCAGCAAGTATACCATGCTTTGTTTACTTCTGTAATACGATGTGACACAGAAACTGCCGGGTGTTTATACATTATATGCATGCTCCCGACGGGTGTATGCATTTGGGATAGCAACAACATGGTGAACTGAGTAACCACCTATTGTAGTCGGCGTATCATTGCTTTATTGAAGAGTTCTAAATAGGTGTACGGCCCCCCACTCTAATGGTTGGCGCTTGGTTATTCGAGTCCACGGTTTTGAGTTGTCAGATGTAGCCCTTACTAGGAAGCCTATGGCATCCGAGTGTCTAGTCGATAGAGCGGTTGATTATGTATTCCGCCCATTCAAAGAATGTATGGAAAGGGACCGTAGCATTAGTATGTAAATGGTTGCTTGACAGTCGTTATATAGTTGCAGAACCCCGTCAGATGAAAATCATCGTTAACGACAGAAGCAGGCCGGACCATACACGGTGTATGCATTGAATAGCTGCTCTTCTACGTCTGGGACATCAAATCAGTTAAAAGCAGGGAATTGCTATCTCAGCCATCCTCTGTAAAAACACATAACAAATCTATATAATTAAAAGTCATAAATATTATCATGATATCCCCCTAGACCGGGGCTCGGACCTAACTACCAAAAATAAGAACTTCCATATACATCCTGATAGCACTGAAACGTGTCGGGACAATAAACCGCCTGTTGCCCAAAAATAATATGCCAACTGTACTCCATCACCCGCGCACTCAAATCATCCGGCAGATCCGTCGTCAACACCCAATTATAATACCGCTCATAGTCGCTCTTCGGCCTCTGCAGCACCTGACCCCTCGACACGGCAAACTGCGAACAACACGGCGCTGCGACAACCTCGGGCACCTCGGTGTTGTTGTGTAACTCCTCCCAAGCCTGCGCGTAGACCTTCTCTGCTGTTTTCCCTGGTCGCGGAGGGTTGCGGAAGGGCTGGATCTCGTCCGGGCAGCCGGGGGATTCTTGGCAACGGAGGTTTGCGAAGCCGTTTCTCTGGACAAAGTCTATTTGCAGGGAGCGGACGGATTCGACGTTGCTGTAGGAGAGGGTGTCTGTGTGCCAGGCTTGGGGCCAGCCGTCTTTGTGGCTGTGCAGGAAGATGATGGTTGCGGGGAGGTCGTGGTAGTGTTCAACGATGTATTGGAGGTAGGCGAGGGCTTCGCGGCCTTTGTTGATGGGGGTGTGGCGCGAGGCGAAGGGGTCGTCGACTGTGTAGATTACGTTTCGCCATCTATTCCAATATCAGCACCGTGTCTTGTACGGACTTAAAGGTATTAATTCACTCACTCGTTCAAATCATTGCTCACCCACGACGTATCCTCCCACGACGTCTTCGCCATGACGATCGTACGATCATTCGGCACGATAATCGGCGTAGTCTCGTACTCCGGCTTCTTTGACAACACCTTTCTATCACCCGGTTTCGTCTTCTTCATACCGCTCACCCCCGGCCGTGCTCTATCATGATAGCTTTCCGGAGCAGGAGCAGGAGCATCCTGTTTTACAGCATAAGTGTCCGGGACTACAGGCGTCTCGGGCACAAATTCGTTGGCGGGCGAATCAGCAGATGCAGGAGCGGGCGAGCTGATCTGCCAGAACGGCTGAACGCGCGAATCATCCTGGACGTGGTCGAGATGGCGTTTGATGAGGATAATGGCGAGGATCAGCAGTGCGGCCGAAGCGACACGGTATGTCAGAGTCATTTCATATCTTGTCGCACAGTACACCTGATATGTAGTGTATAGAAAGGATGAGAGGGAGGAAAGGAGAGGAGAGGTGCACGGAGTGGAAAAGAGAAGTCGGTCGGTCGGTCGCAAAAAGAAAAATCTGGCAAAGACGGGTGGAAATTGCCAGTGCCGATCAGTAGTGGTCGAGACAGGGACTATCTATAGTAGACAGTTCAATACGAGGAATCAGAACACAATTGAACGAGGTATATTGCTCTTCACTGCCCGTCAAGTGACGATCGTATGCGGTGATGTTTTTATCTCAGACGTTCCGGATAGATGAGGGATGACACGTGCTGCAATTGAGTGAGTGTTTGAATAGTTGTCTGCGCAGTGTACAATCGCCTAGCACTACCAGCGAAAAATGAGTCTACCGTGTACAATTGACAGAAAAAATAGCTGTGAAAAGAGCAATGGCCATGAAGTGACGTATTCCATCCTAACATATTTACCCAATGCGGTATCTGCCCAGCCCAGCTCAGTGGAGTGAAACATCCACATAAACACCACTTAACGCCATACCAATGCAAATCATAACTCATTAGCAGCACTTCCCTTTCTTCCTCCCCTCCAACTGCTCCTCCCCGTACGCATCCAATGTAACGCTACTCGACGAAATCCCCAACCAACTCCTCCTCTTCGCATCACCGCCAGCACCGCCCGGCCCAGCAGGCCCCAACCGAAAAGCCCCATTCCCATCAACCCCAAGCCCCCTCGACGAAGACGCCTCCGCAGCGACCACCGCCGGAAGATCCTCTACCACCTCTCTGCCTCCCCGGTTCCGTAGCCGGACACCACCACTGGAAAGAGACATCGCCAAGGGCCCCGACGACCGTACAATCTCCCGCCGATGCCTCTGCTCGACCAACTTCCGCGCAATCACCCGAAACACCTCCTCGATGCCCTCGCCATCTTTCGCACTGATCTCGTGACAGCAGTCCCATCCGATATCCTGCCCCCAGAATCCACTACTCCGTTTGCTATCGGCGCTCTGCAGGAATAACGTACTGCTGGAGCGATGCATGAAACTCGTCGTCGACGTCGTAGGCGTAGCAGAAGCAGTAGCCGGCAGGGTAGACGCCTGTGTGGGATACAACTGCTCAGCGACATACGCGATCGTGCGCTCAAACGGCACCCGTCGCCTTGAAGGGTCTAATGCGACAACATCCGACTTCGTTCCCACAACATGTATCACAATCCCCTCCCCATCATCACCCACGGTAAGGTTATCCTTCAATTCCTTCAACCACCCCGCCATTTCCTCGAAGCTTTTCTCGTCGGTGATATCATAGCACAGCAAACAAGCGTGCGCGCCGCGGTAGTATAGTCGGGAAATACTCCGGAAGCGCTCCTGGCCTGCTGTATCCCAGATTTGGAGGCGGACGATTGTGTCGGAGGTGCGGTCGAGGATGCGTTGGGTTATGAAGGAGGCGCCCAGCGTGGGGGTTGTGGTTGTGGGAGAGAAGGTGTTTTGGACGTAGCGGTGGACGAGGGAGGTTTTTCCTACGCCTGTGCTCTGTGGTTAGTATGGCTGACTGTTTGGGTGTCGGGTATGGAAGGGATAGAGGGGATACCTTGGGAACCCAAGACGACTATCTTGGCCTCGAGGGAGGAGCTCATTGTGGGATTTGTGTAACGAGCATGTCAGTGTAGTTTCTGTATGTAGGGTATTGAGTATGCTCTACTGCAAAGTAGGATAGAGTAAGGCCGTTGAAGCGATAACAGTAAGTGAGGCCTCGGCCTCCAATCACTGATCGATCATTGATCACACCAGCGACTGCCAGTTGTTAGACCTCATGGTCAGGCTGACTTGTCTCACCCTTACTCCGCGCACCTGAATCCTGCGCTTGTATTGTAAGACTGTACTTTCTACTCGTATATATACATTTCATGACTATAACCAGGTAACTTACTATAAATACTGACTACAAACTACCGAAACCAGCCGACCCCACTGCCCGAAACGTTTCATGCCTCAGGGATCAATATTTTACATTACAGCCCCTCTTACATTCTTTACAGCAGATCTCAGATCTGATCAGATCTCAGTGGTCAACGCATTTTCCCCACGAGGGCCACTACGGTTACATTGACAGCGAAAATCAGTAGATCAAGAACTTGAACTTGAATTTGAATTTGAACATAAATGTTTTTATGTATTCAGCAATCGAGCTATCCAATGTATCGTCACTCGGGTATATCTTCCAACTGTACAGCAATCATAGACCATGAAATTCCCATCGCAAAACATTAAGCAACCCAGGCCAAAACTGGAAAAGCGTAACCATGTGCAAGACACCGGCGATGCACCATCTATCATGCCAGCCACAAACAAGTAAAGGGTATCAGGTATTTGCCAGCGAAAACCATAAGAGATTCCATGACAAATGTAAAACAAAAAATCATCAAAGCAAACCACGGCAGATGAATTGTGCCCGGGATGTCGTTGCACTTTTTTCACATAACAAAGCAAGCCAAAATAGAGAAAAGGAAAAAAAGAAAAAAAAATCATTAAGCTTCCCCAGTCACCTGCTGGTGCTGAGTAGCCCCCTTCTCAGTAGCAACCTCATCAGAAGAACCACCGCTACCATGCGAGTCGTCGCTGCCAATACCAAACTCGTTGTTCATGGCCTCGACCTCCTCGTCGGATAACTTGGGCAACTCCTTGGCAGCAGTGACATAGGACATGTTCTCGACAAACCCCTTGGCGAAGATCAAATCGATCTCCTCCAGACTGCGGTTTGCTGTCTCAGGGTAGAAGAAGTAGATAACAGGAATGAACAAGGCGTTGAGGGCTGCGAAGAAGAGGTACGTTCCCCACTGGATCCGATCAACCATAACGGGGGTGATCATGACGACGGTGAAGTTGAACAGCCAGTTGCTGCAGGTGGAGACGGCGTTGGCCTTCGCACGGGTCTTGATCGGCGAGAGTTCGGCAGGGTACAACCAGGGGAGAGGGAGCCATGTGGCGCCGAAGCAGGCCATGTACAGGAACAGGCCGAACACGGCGCCCTTCTTAGCGCCGTCGCTATTGGGAATGAGACAGGCGAAGGTGATGGTCATGGAGATGAACTGGATCCAGGAACCGTAGAGGAAGAGCTTGCGACGGCCAATCTTTTCAATGAAGAACCAGGAGAATGTGGCGAAAATAGCGTAGACAATCATGTTGACGCCGCCAATCAGTAGGGCAAAGTCATGGTCTTCACCCAGAGAGTTCTCCAGAAGGACGGGCAGGTAGTAGATGACTGCATTGCAACCACTGAGCTGCTGGAAGATCTGCGAGGAAGAACCGATAAGCATACGACGGAAGTGCTGGGAACGGCCACCGGTAATCAAATCAGAGAACTTGGTCTCTTCGCCAGCGCCAGATCTATTCAAGTTAGCTTCTATTCCACCTCTACCCTTGCATTGGAGACTCACGCTTCAAGTGATTCCAAAACCAGCTGCTTCTGAAGTTGTGTCTCGTGGTCGTGAATCTCGCGACCACTAAGAGCAGCCAGCACCTTCTCACCTTCCTCAACTTTACCCCTGGAGATCAAGTACCGAGGAGAATCAGGAAGATACCACATGCCAACAATGATGATAATGCCAAAGAAAATCTGGAAGGCAATAGGGAAACGCCACACCAAATCCGTCGGGCCGTAGTGAGCGCCAAAGTCAATCCAGTAGGCAATCATAGTACCAATTGCAATGACACCACCCTCAATACAGATCAACAGACCACGATTGGTCGTCTTGGAGCACTCAGCCTGGTAGGTGGGAATCGTCGAGGTATTCATGCCATTGCCGATACCAGTAATGACACGGCCAACGAAGAATTGTAGGAGAGGAATGTGGTCGACAAACGAGGTAACCTGGATAATCACACCAACGATCATAACGATGGCGCCGGAAAAAATCATCCATCGACGTCCCATCTTGTCACCGAAGACAAGGGCCCAGATGGCACCGGCCAAACAACCCAGTTCGTAGACGGCGGTGACCAGAGCTTGCATGACACTGTCATCCTTGGTTGCGGTAAAGACACCGTTAAAGGAAGGGTCACTAATGATACCGGACATAACGCCCTCTTCACTGCGTTAGCTATATTCAGTCTCCTGTTAGGATGGGGAACTCACGGTCATAACCGAAAAGCAGGAAGCCCATGGTCGCGATGGTCGAAACCGTCAACGACAAGGGCTTGCCCGACATGCCAGCGTACGTCGGAGGAGCCATGATGAAGAAGCTGTACCGGCAGACTAAGTCAAAAAGGCCGGAAGGTACGTGCACAGCACAGTCGAGTTCAGAACGATAGATCTCAGATCTCTTCTGAAAACAAACAATTGACCTGATAAGTAAAAAAAGTATTGGGGGGGGGGGGAGAATATAATACAGAAAGAAACCTGGAGAAAAGGGGGCAAAGCAGGATATATCTACCCCAGGTGCCTTCAGGCTGTAGCTTTTGTATCGGAGTATCTATGCAGTACTTGTATGTAATTGTACCATTGCATGAAGTGGGTCCCACTAGTCCCCTTTTGTGCAACCGAAAAGTGGGTTTCGGGCACAGTGGGTCTCGAACATGCGTTCCGAATGTGACACAGCAATATCCAATCAGCGACCAGCCTGGGGGCTTCAGACGAATCAAGTTCGTTTGTTCTCCTAACCGGCCTGTGAATGGGAGAAGGGCAATTTCTCACCCCAAAGCCGAAGTCGTCATACTCTCCTTCTTTTTCTTTTCCTCGCCTATTCCGGCTGAAGGGCTTTCCGGATACAGAGTATTGTGTACCAGAGAGAATATGGAGCCCCCCGTGGCAACCCGACCGGTATGGGTGGGCCATTCTCCAGGTTCTTTTTCGCTCGAGGGTCACCTGTACGGAGTACCTGTACGTAGCCTGGTCAGTGCCTGTATGATACGGTAATACAATAATTATTGAGACAGACTCAAGGTCTGTTATGTTTGGTCTCACTCTATCATTCTTTCCTTCTACAGAGTAGAGCACTCGAGTGCTGATGCAATTGTAGTCTTGGTAATGCTTGGTTAAAACAAGCCTCTCGTATAATATGGATCTTCTGTCTTGTCTTCTTGTCCTCGAATCCTGTCCACGGCTTCTCTCCGTAGTTCCAAGGGGGCTTGACCAAAGAATACAAACATCGGGAAGCCGTCAGTCTCTTGTCTTCGCCCGATCCCGCTTAGCCTATCCAAAATAGGGAATTTGCATGCCAATCACGTCTTGGCTGCTCTTACGCTAACGGTATTACGTTACGTACAATACTTCTTCCTAAAACGGAAACGGGCTGTCCGTCCGGGGCCGAAGAGGTCACGAGAACAGATGAGCCACCTCCAGGTCTCCGCTGCTGGATGGGTTATGGGTTGTGGAATTACCCCGGATCCTTTTCTGTGTATGGAGTGGCATAGTTATGACATCTTCATGGTACTCTGTACGGAGTAGCATTATACCAGTAAGCATAGGACAGAGTGGTATCTGACATGCAGCACATGCAACGACTTGCCCCGTACTTCATCCCCACAGCTAATTAACAGTTGGTCTCCCCGTTGGTCCACTGTCGGTTGCCCTCCATCTGGAGATAATATGGAGCTGATATGAATGCCATAGGCAGCACTTTAGTAATTCTCCTATAGTCCAGGGATATGCTGCAACCCGTCAAATAATGCAATTCTAGACTTGTCTCATCCATCGGGCTCATTCCAGTACGAATTCCATAAACAAGCAAATACTCATTCACCGTCTCTAATCGGTCGAAATTAGGCTCACCAAGGCCAAATACCAAGAAAGCAATTATAAATCATCCACTTGAACAGCTGACCAAACCTGCATCATCATCCGTGCAACAGAAGCAAAAAAGAAGCCGCTCTTTTCCTTCTCGGTTTCGTTTCCATTGCGTAACGACGGCCGAATCACGGATTTCGGACTCTTTACGGAGTGTCCGTACGGGGGTACGGAGTAGTATGCACAAGTACGGGGTTGTAAAGAGTCCTTCCTTTTGAATCATAGTGGGAACACCGAGGCCTTGCTGGGCTGATCCTTGTAAACCTCCCTGGTTACTTACTCGTGCTTGGCGACGGCGCTAAGAGTGGTGGTTTTTCATGGTGTGTTTTTGGGGCGTTGGTGTTGCGTTATATGCATGAGCCAATGGAACTGTCGTGTCGAGGTGTAGGATATTGGATTCCGAGGTTCTGTCTGTTGGGAGGCAAACCACGTGCTTGGGGTAGTACGGTGATACTCACGCTATGTTTAACTGCGAGTACTGGTAAGTAGTACTCTGAGTAAGAGTTCGTGGCAGAGTCGGAATTTACGTTGTAGTTTGTCGCATCCTTACTCGTTCCTGGCGGTTTTGTGGACCGTCGGGTGTCGGAAAAATTCCTGTCATCTATTTCACTCCGTGCAGTTATCCCCTGTACAGACTGACTCTGTATCTACATACTGTGACTTCTCCACGGACAATCGCCGATGTCAAACAAGCCGAAAACACGGCTCCTCCGGACCGGATGATGCCGCCGGCGATGATAACAATACGCCGCAAAGAAAATCCTCCTGCAGGGTGACGTGAGACTGGAGGCTCAAAGAACTCGAGATGGAAAATGGAAAAATTCAAATCCTAGACATATCCTATCACAGTGATTAGACGTCGTGCAACATTCTATATATGGCCTGTAATACTTCGTAGAGTAAACTTAACCGAGGACTCGAGATTCCACGAAATGATTGATTTCCAATCCATTCTTTTGTTTCAAATTCATTTTCATTCCATGGACATGCCATCCCGGAACGGAAACAGGAAAATATGGTGGGAAATTTGTTTGGCGGGAAAAATAAATGTGTAAAAAGGCCTCATCTATGGAGCAATCGACATCGCTAAACAGAGATTGTCACTTGTCATCCCATAGTTGTACTCGTATACGATCGATGGTCGCGTAGAATGGCAATCAAATCATTGTCGGTCAGCTTCGGCACCGAGGTACTCAATCGTACTATGCAACCAGTGCCCCAGAAAAGAAAATAATAGCGCTCATTAAGTCGTATCCATCCAAGACATCGTCATCATCATGTGGCCGTATCGCGACTCACTCCATATGTACTTGTACGAGCCCAGTACATACCCTGCAAGTTATGCACCATGACACACAAGAAGTGCCGCAAAAAGCCGCAATTATTCGGGCACCAACGGCACCAGTCACGGTCCGATTCGAATCTTAGCCAAGCCGATCTCCTTCACGGGCACGGTTTTGGCTTCAGCCTGCCGGGGCGGGCGGGAGCGCAGTTTGTTTTTGAAATGGGTTCCGTCGGAGGTTCAGGGGAAACCGGAGGAGTCGATCATCCGACTGCACGAGGCCTATATGTAGAAGACCCAATTAAAACAAACGATTGATATACTCTATCTAATGTAGCCTAGAGTACACGGGTGCTTGAGTGCTTGATGAGTGCTTGACTATCTATATGTGGCGAACGCTGGCCATATATCGGAGGTCCGCTAGTCGGACTAACGTTATCCCTTTGATCCGACCTATCAGATCTCATCACTCCCCTTCGTTCAATATCGCGAGTTCAATCAATCAAAGCAATCTATCTAAATGAATGAATGGAGCGATGTTGAACGCTCTGGTAGATAGTGTTGGACTTCCTCCAGCTCGCCCAATCAAGCGAGACCTAGTCCATCGACTAATCGTCCCTGGCTAATGTGGTTGGTAGCTTTCGTCAAGCCATCGGCTGTCATCTTGTCTGTAGAGAGATACTCTAGGCGGATCTCCCCATTATTGATATGCTCACGAATAGCATGATACCGTACTGCTATATGTTTTGTCTTAGGGTGGTTGATTGGATTTTCGGCAATCTTGATGGCTCCCTGGTTGTCTTCATATATAGTTGTCGGGGCTCCATGATAGATAGCTTCCTTCCCTATAGCATAGAGGAAGTGCCTAATCCATATTGCTTGCTTGGCTGCCTCGGACGCAGCAATGTACTCGGCTTCCGTTGAACTCTGAGCAGTTAATGATTGCTTCCGGCTGCTCCAGACAATAGGTGCTGCATCAATCATAAAAATGAAACCAGTAGTAGACCTATTTTCTTTAGAATTCGCGTATGCGGAATCTGAGTATGCAATCAACCCTTGTTGGCATCTCCCCTTGGCTCCATAAACTAGTCCATAGTCAATAGTGCCTTTCACATAGCGGAGCACATGTTTAGCTGCCCCAAGATGGACCTGGCCTGGCTCCGCGAGGTATTGAGATAGTTGATTGATGGCGAATGCTATATCGGGTCGGGTAGCAGTCACCAAAAACATCAATCGCCCAATTAATCTCCGAAACAGTTTATGATCCCCTTGTCCTAAGCGCGGACTATCAGATGAATCCAATTGTACGCTTGGGCTTAAAGGCGAGCTCACGGCTTTGCAATCAGCCATGCCAAATTCCTCCAGGATCTGGCGAGTGTAGGACTCTTGGTCTAGTCGGATAGACCTATCTCTTCCCCATGTGAAGCGAATTCCCAATAGTTTCTGAACTCGTCCGGAGTCAGTCATCGGATGGAACTCCTTGAGCTTCTGCTTCACTGCTTCTATCCCATGCTCATGCTTGCCGAATATGATGATATCATCCACATATAGCCCGATAATCAACCCCCGTCCATTGATAAAGACACTAGGGTCAGCTGTAATTGGTTTGAACCCTATTTTCTTCAGGAACTGGCTGATCTTCCGGTGCCATAGATTAGCGGACTGCCTCAAGCCATATAATGACTTCATCAACTCTAAAACCATGCCTCCCTGGCCGGCTTCAGGGTCGAAATCCTGCAACCCCTCTGGGATCTCCATGCAGTTAGGCTTATCAAGATCAGATCCAACAAAAGCATTAGAAGCATCTAGCACATGTGCTACCAGTCCATATCTAGCAGCCATGGCCACCAATATCCGTAGGCTATCTAGTCGGAATACCGGGGCGAAGGTCTCGTCAAAATCATTGTCCGATTGCTCGTTGCCCCTGGCCACCAGCCTAGCTTTGAAACGGTCGATCCGGCCATCTAGGCCTATCTTGACATCAAATACCCACCTAGTGGATGATATGGTGCCTTCCGCTTCTTTCCGGGGTATGACTCTCCAGGTCCCAAAGCTCATCAGGGCTATCAATTCCTTATGAATCGCCTCCTTCCACTTTGAGCCATATATCGGATCATTGACGGCTTCCTTGTACGTGCGTGGTATCCGGATGCCATTCTTCTCTAGCGCTGGCCGCGCTTTCTCAGTGACTTCGAATTCGCAGTCTCCAATCAGCAGTTCAGTAGCCAATGCCATCCGGGCATTCTCTTTCTGAGCTAAACGGGCTCTCAAGCGCTGAGCTGGACGATTATCCAAACCATCCTCCCCTTCAGTTCTGCGCTTCGCACCCCGTTGCTCCCTGCTCTCTTGCTGTTGCTGATAGCTCTCCATCATCATCTTAGATGGCTGGCGAATTCGTGCTGAGCGGCGTACATCTGGTGATGTAGTCTCTGTGGGTGGAACATTCACTTCACCCTCTCTAGGCTGTTGAGCCTCTTCAGCCTCAGGTGGGGCTACCCCGCGTAGCTTATTATCACGTCGTCCTAGATGAACCTCATCATCCCGACGCTCCCCTTCGAGCTGGAACTCCGGCAGCTTCAATGGCTTATCTGCCATGCCATGAGGTGATGAAGTCTTTCCAACCTTTGGAATCTCTCCATGCTTGTCTACCTCTGATGGTTTTCGCGGCTTATCCATCACCGAGCCATGAGGTGATGAAGTCTCTCCATCCCATGGAGTCTCTCCATTCTTCTCAACCTCCAACAGTTCTGACGGCTTATCTGTCATCGAGCCAGTATCCGGCCTTTCAGGCGCCGGGCCTTCCTCATTCGAATCCGATACCATCGTCTGGTGATAAGATGGTCTCTCAGTAGGTTCTTTCTCTCGTGCCTCTCTCTCTGCGGGTATCTCTATAGGCATAGGATTAGGCTGATGTTCTTGAGCTGGCGCTTCCTGCTGAGCTGGTGGTAGTGGCCTATCTGGTTGCTGCAGTTGCTGGAATGGCTTCAGGCAATATCCACTTTCTTGCTCACGAAACTCGGGGTTTGTCACCAATCTCAACTCTTGGCCCCCTCTAGGCAGAACAAAATACTGCTTGTCACTCTTCCCATACATCATAAACGTGCCCTCGGCCACACGACTATCTAGCTTGCTGTCTGCCTGGGTATGAAACAACACACGACAGCCCCATGCTCTCAGATGAGTCAAATCCGGTTTGTGGCCATGCCATAGCTCATATGGCGTTCTATCCTCGCCATCTTCATCTTCCGCAGAGTCTCTCAATTGCGTGATCCTGTTCCTTAGATAATTGGCGGTTATCACTGCATATTTCCAATATATCTTGCTGATCTTTGCGTCAAACAACAGAGCTCTCGCAATGTCCAATATGACCCTATTGAAACGCTCTGCTACACCATTCTGGGGAGGAGTATAGGACTCAATGAACTCCAGTTCAATACCTTTGCTCTTCGCCCATGGTTTCAACGCTATGAATTCCGCGGCGTTGTCGGTCCTAATGATCAACAACATCTGGCCAGCCTGGCGCTCTACCTGGCGTGACCACACGTCCAAAGTGTATATAACACTCTCCGTTCTCCGATCAGTCTTGATGAAAAGCCAAGAATACCGGGTGCAATCATCAATCAAAGATAGGAAATATCTCTCTGGTCCAGCACCTTCCCGGTTAGGACCCCAAAAATCCATATACACACGCTGTAGAGGCCTTCTTGCTTTAGGTACTGGGACATGGCCTTGTTTCTTCACTTGCTTAGCCTTAATGCACACCTCACAGTTGTCATCTAATAGCTTGTCACGCTTGTTGATCCGCAGCTCTTCCATATCCATCCAATTAACGCAGTTGTTGAACCGTTTTCTCCCAGGATGGCCTAGGCGGCGGTGGATAAGTCTCTGCTTTATGGCAGTCTCTTCATCCGCTGATAAAGCTAGACGAGCATGTTGCTTCCTCTTTGCTACTCCTGGACCAACCAGTAGAGCATTAACATGCTTAACTGCTTCCAAATAGGTGCTTCGTCCGATCCTTTTCCCTTTAGCAATAACCTTTCCATCTTTTCTTAGCTCATATCCCTTGATAGAGCCTCTCGATTCGAATCCAGCAAGATGGAGCACCTCCAGGGACAATAAATTCTCTGCTAGTCCTGGCACATATATTACTCCTCCTAATCTTGCTTTCTTGCCATTTGGCAAACTGAACTTCACGATTCCTCGCCCCTCAATGGGCATGCGAGTTCCGCTCGCTATCGTGAGGTTTCCTTTGCATGTCATATCCAAATATTCAAACATGCCTTTGTCACCAGTAGACATACTCGTGGCTCCGCTATCAAAGCACCATCTCGAATCCGTCTTCATACGGTAGGCGTCTTCCTTGACAAACGTTGCTCGTTCATCTATATGGGTTACCTCTATGGCTCGGCTGCCATATTCTACCTCCATCTGATGGGATACCTCTACAGCTCGACTGCTATATTCTTCCTCATCAGGACTATCGCCCATCTCATGGTCTTCAGCGGATCTGCCCTTATGTTTCGTCGGCTTCTTCTTGCGGTTTCGGCCATTCTTCTGGCCCTTGGAGTTCTCACGCTTATCTCCATCAGTGTCACTACTGTCCTGCTTGCATTCTTTTGATATATGCCCTTTCTTTCCACAGGCATAACATTTAATGCTTCTCTGTCGTTGCTTCCCGTCTGCTCGCGAGGCCTTATCTCCTTGGTCATCCCGCAGCTGCCTAAGGTCTTCCACACGACTAAGGACGTATTCTTCATTAAGGGTAGCATCTGAGCTCATCACTGTATCTCTCAAAGTGGCGTACTTATCTCCTAATCCACGGAGATACCATAAGACAGTCAAATCATCAATATTGATAGTCTTTCCACCATTCATCTCAGTGAACTCCTCAGCCATCTGCTTGATCTCTCGATATGCTTCCCTCTCATTCTTTGATTGGTCCCAGGTCCAATTGGCCATCCTCATTAATTTCAGTGCCTTTCTCGTGTTGGATGTCTCCATGAATGTCTTCTTAAGATAATCCCATTTTCGTCCGGCATTCGGCTGGGACTTAACATCCAAGACAGTTGATGGTGATAGCCCATTCTCTATTATCATGTCGGCCTTCAAATCAACCCTACTCCAACTGGGTTTTTGCGACAATATCCGGGCATATTCATCCTTTCCAACTTTGGCATAGAATCCAATGGCTTGCCATGCATTCTGACCTCTCAATTGCTTCTCCATAGCATGGAACCAATATCTAGCGTTATCCTCACAAAGCTTATCAATCGAGAAGGGATATATCTTTATTGGCTTTTCATCAACCGGTTCTTCATCCACAATCCATGGACGAAGTGGGATATCCTTCGTCGTTGTCTTCTCAGGTTCTTCAGACATTATGGCGTTCTCACGACTCGATGGACTTCGCTAGGGGATCACTGGCCGGTAATCAGATAGGAAGGGCGTCGAGGGTGAGGCTCGCAGTTCGACAATAGATCGATCAGTCTATAAAGGATGTGAAGCCAATATAGTACTCTCCGGGGTGCCACGCTGGTTAGGCGTATACTGGCATGCCCGGGCTCATAACCGATGAAATGGGTTCCGTCGGAGGTTCAGGGGAAACCGGAGGAGTCGATCATCCGACTGCACGAGGCCTATATGTAGAAGACCCAATTAAAACAAACGATTGATATACTCTATCTAATGTAGCCTAGAGTACACGGGTGCTTGAGTGCTTGATGAGTGCTTGACTATCTATATGTGGCGAACGCTGGCCATATATCGGAGGTCCGCTAGTCGGACTAACGTTATCCCTTTGATCCGACCTATCAGATCTCATCAGTTTTCAATGTCTGAGCCGTGTTCAACGGGCTTGGCTTGTTTGATCGAAACAGTGGACGGCAGGACTGATATTTTATGCGAAGTGTTGGAGGACGAAACATGGTGCGTGTACTTTGCGGTTCTTGGTTAGTTGTGTCGGTCTCGTTAAAAGAATAAATATGTCAAGTCGAGTAGGTCTCATGGATGTCAGTGGTGTCACGTGTTTTGACGTGCGAGAAATCACCGCGCAGAGCAATTGCAACTACTTCGTAATGAAACTGGTATCTACAGCAGAACTATGGGAGAAAGCACGCTACTTATATATATATATATGGGTTCTTTGTCCACCCATGTTCAGGGGTTATCTGACACGAGATGCCATATAAATAACGCCAACGCTCCTTTGGCCAGGCCCAGGCCCGGCGATGCTGCTTGCAGCCATACCAGGTTCCAGCAAGCGTCTCACGGACTGCAGATTGAGCAGCGGCTCCTTGTCGACATGGTCGCGTGGCTTCCATAGGTCGAATGTTACCTAGCTGACTACAGCTTCCAGAAGAACTACTATTGTGGGCCTAAGCCAATTCTTTTATCCAGGAACATGGATTACTATGGACATGGACATGGTTTCTTATGTACACTCAATCAGGCCACATTCCAATCCGCCAATGCATCATCGCCAACCTTATCCTTGATAATCCGCTGCGTGAGATCCCACAGTGCAGACCCAAGCTTTGGATCAGATGCTTGTTTTGACTCCTTTCCTGGTTGGCAGCTGTCTGAGAAGTAATACCCGTTCCATCCCTTCTCTTCAATTTCGGGGCTTGTTGCAGCCCACAGGGCGCTAAATGCACCTTGCTCGGGATCTCGGCCAATCGCGAGCATCATCGTTGTCAAGAGCTTTCCAAAGAGTCCGGGGTATGCGTCTTTCCATTGTTGCTGCATTGATGTGTTGACCTAAAATCGTCAGCTCATGCATAATAAATCTGCCGGTTAGAGGCCGTCACTTACCGCGCCGGGATGCACTGAAAGCACATAAATGTTATCGTTGTTAGGCTTGACCACCCGTTCTAACAGCCCATACTTGACCCCCAGAATAATAGCCAGCTTCGTCCGTCCGTACAACTCAAGGTTTCCAACCTTTGGGTCATTAATCTCTTCCATCGACCCGAAATGAACTACCGACGGCGCCATGCGATGCTGTTCAGATGTCTCCCAGACAATTCTGGGAGCAGGTGTCTCAGGCAACTTCGACGTCTTCCGCAAAAGCGGATACAGCAAGTTACACACGTAGTACTGACCAAGCCAGTTTACCTGAAAATGGCGATCGATCTTGTCGTGTGTTTCACCGTATTGGTTCACATTGATACCAGCTGAGAGGATGAGCAGATCCAAACGTACTTCCCGCTCCCGCAGACTTGTAAACGTATCCTTTATTTGCTGGAAATTTCCCATGTCGCATTCCATCCATTCGATCTGCGCTGTCGGACCGGCTTCTTGCTTGATTTTGTCGATGGCGTCTTGGCCTTGGTCTTCTTTACGGTTTATCATGATCACTCGGGCGCCGTTGAGGACGAATGTGCGTGCAACTTGGTATCTGCGTAGATAGCATTAGCTCTATCAATTGAATAGCTAGGGGTAAAAGGAACTAACCCAATGCCCAGCGCACCGCCTGTGATCAGGGCGACTCGACCGCCGAGATCGTGGACTTCTTTTTTGGGCCCGATGACTGGCTTCAGAACGGATTGCATTGTGTCTGTCTTTATTTAAATCTGTGTGGTCTTTGTTTCAATTGAACGAACAGGGTAGTTATAAATTCGGTGCATACTGTCAGTTGTACAGTCCACGCCAGGCTGATGTCATAGCGACTTCAACGCGACGCAACGACATCAAACCTGAATATAATTGCAACCAAAAGGCTATGCTTACAATTAATGCGCCATATGACTATTATAAAACAAGTAGAAGAACAGGAAATGAAGATAGCGATGATGGGTGGTTGATGTCGTGAATAAGAAGTATATAGTTATTCTGCGGTCAACTTATTACCCCATGATTTCCGTATCTAAGAGGACTCAAAACTTTTCCAACACAATACAAGGTCAAATCTCTACCTTGGACCAGAATGAAAACTAAATCATAGACTAGAATTACACATTTTAACTTGATTCAAAAGAAAGACAAAATGACGGCAACTAAAGATGGCAATGGAGCAGCATAATCATTCGCGTTATGATGGAAGAAAAAAGTGAAGCAAGTGGCAATTTCTTTCTCTAGATAAGTATTGTTGAGCCACATCGATTGTATGATATAGAGGATGTCGCATGTCTCTGATTGCTTTACTCGCAGCAAAACATACAAAACAGTGAATGGGCGAATAAAGGGATCGTTGAGCTCAATCAGAGGACCCTTACGGATCACTAAATCCTGACCATCATAGAACCCTTGGATACCCGACAGTTCTGCAGTCCTATGAAAGAAAGTATCATAATTTGTAGACAAGGTTGAGAAGAGATGAAACAAGATAATCGGGACGCATACTGGGATGATTAAATGTTCCTCGACATGTGTTAAAGACATTCGACTCCTGATCGCGTCAACAATCAAGAGCAGCTCTCACCTGAGACCCTCGTCTTCATCGTTATAATGTCTTAGACTGAGCATGAGATGAGGTTTTGCGACCTGTTTTTTCGTACAGTACGAGCCCTACGGCCGAAGGAATGTCTGCGGACGCAGAGTAACTACATAGGTAGTGACGACCAAAAGTACGATTTGTAGACGAGCTCGTATGCAGACTACTCAGGCTGTTCTTTTGCGACTTTAAGTCTAAGGATCATCTTTAAGATAAATCGTCTTCATAAGTTAGTGTTAAATCATCGTCTTCCCAAAGCCACTATCGAAGTACACTCGAGTTACAGCTGTATATAAACAACAAGACAAGTTTTCACTCTTGATCAAACTATTTTGTGAGGCATTTAAACGTGATAGGAGCTTTTTTTCAAAACCCGCTTGACGAAACACCACAACTTCTGTGAACAACGAGGGCAGAGTGCCTCTGCAGCTTGCTCGGCGTCTCTTTTGCAAATGGCTCTTGTGCAGTGCTTCTAATTTGGTATCTTAAATGCTCGTTGCATATGCATTTGTAGCCTAGATGTAGATTGGTTAACCAATACTATTCAGGTAGTATGGAGTCAGGTTGGATCGATCTCCACTCCAGACTTGTAGCAGACATGAAATTGAGGATAGGAAGTATAGCAACGGCCACGGACATTCTTATTGTGATCTTGACAATTATTAAAAGGTTTTCCCAAACGAGGTTTTGTCCATAAGACGTTGAAGACCTCTCTGGCCAACGACGAAGGGTATCGGGCGGAGACAAACGGTGTCCAGCTCAGGTGCGGTGCAGGCTGTCCTTGAAAGTGAAGAAGACGCTGCGGATGGACACCAGGTGCAAGAACAGGAGGCTGCAGAAGCCGCTTTATGGCACCACAGAGACGAACTCGCAAGCACAACGTGCAATGGACGGATAATAAATCCTCAATGACTGCAGTGCCTTCATCAAATAGAGATAGTAGGCTTCTTGCAGCTTTCCGCTTCTGTCTCTCGACTGCTACGAGGCCTTCACACATTTTTGCAAGGTCAATCCCAGTTACAGCAAGTATCCGGAATCAGGAACTCGTTGCGTTACTGCATTTTTCGGAATGCAGGTTTTCGGGTCCTCATCAGGCCTGAACAGTAGCCGGGTGAAGGAGTTGGCTACGATCGCCGTGGTGATAATCATGCTGGAGAGTGAGACCGCATAAAACTAGTCTAGAGAGCTGCCGTAATACGAAAAGAGCGGGAGCATGTAGTATCCCGCATGTAGCTGGACAGACCCTTCTGTAGGCTGCTTCCACAATTCCTATGAGTCTTCATTACACAATGAAGGCAGCCAGGAAGAGATATGCAGGTTTGCTGCCAGTACCGAAAAGGAGACCAAGATGCCAAGCAAGCTAACGTTGAAACAGAAAGAAGCATTTTACATGAAGCTATGACATGTGAAAATGATGTTCAAAGCTTGAAACGGAGTTATCGATTTAGTGTATGCAGCTTGTCACAGCTTTTTAGTGCATTGGGAAGGATATATACAATAATAATACATGCCTTTGTTGTCGTTGAAGAGGATGTGCCGAAAACGGAAACCTAGGGCATTGCCACCGACATGTGATGATGCCTGGGGCATCAATGCATCACGTTCGTCACGACACTGCATGAGCATTTTGGCTTTCCCATGTCTCTGGAGTCTTAGGACATAAGTGTAGTAATTCATGCTATTGATTGTATAATTCGTTGAATATCTAGCACATGTAGGAGTTCGTCTCGGGATAGAATCGGCCGAGAGCTATCGCCCGAGATCCCCGCAAATTTCCCCGGTTGGAAAGCAGCCACTCACCGCCCGCCAATTTCCATTTGAGCGTCCTTAAATTGGACTCTTCTACTCTTCTCTGGATAGCCATTCATCCTTAATATTATAGAGATAAAAGTCATCATGTCGAAACTTACAGGTGCCCAAGTCGCGGAGCACAACTCCAAGGACTCGTGCTGGGTCATTGTCCACGGAAAGGCCTACGATGTCACCGAGTTCTTGCCAGGTGAGCATCTATGAGAATAGGGATTGTGCTGCGCAATACTGACAATTGGTCTTATAGAACACCCCGGTGGCCAGAAAATCATTCTGAAGTATGCAGGGAAAGATGCGACTGAAGAATTCGACCCTATCCACCCCCCCGACACCCTCGACAAATACCTTGATTCCTCGAAGCACCTCGGCCAAGTCGACATGGCCACTGTGGAGCAGGAGGAGAAGGCGCATGATCCTGAGGAGACAGCGCGCCAAGAGCGTGTTCAGCGCATGCCTCCTTTGGCGGCATGCTATAACCTGTTCGACTTTGAGACCGTAGCGCGGAGTGTGATGAAGAAGACTGCGTGGGGATATTATTCCAGTGGTGCTGATGATGAGATCGTATGTTCCATACAATGCGAGCGACAGAGGATGTCTGCTAATTTGATGAAAGACAATGCGCGAAAACCACTCAGCATACCATAAGGTCTGGTTCCGGCCACGGATCCTTGTGGATGTGGAAAACGTCGACATGAGCACAACAATGCTGGGCAGCAAGACGTCAGTTCCATTCTACGTGACGGCAACGGCACTCGGCAAGCTGGGTAACCCTGAAGGAGAAGTGGTGTTGACCCGCGCAGCACACGACCATGGCGCTATCCAGATGATCCCGACGCTGGCATCGTGCTCATTTGACGAGATCGTCGACGCCCGCAAGGGTGAGCAAGTCCAATGGCTGCAACTCTATGTAAACAAGGATCGCAACATCACGAAGCGCATCGTGCAACATGCCGAAGCTCGTGGCTGCAAGGGTCTCTTCATCACCGTCGACGCACCTCAGCTTGGTCGTCGCGAGAAGGACATGCGCTCAAAGTTCTCCGACGTCGGCTCGAACGTGCAATCCACGGGTGGTGACTCTGTTGACCGCTCGCAGGGCGCTGCCCGCGCCATCTCCTCCTTCATTGATCCTGCGCTCTCCTGGAAGGATATTCCGTGGTTCAAGTCTATCACCAAGATGCCCATCATCCTCAAGGGTGTCCAGTGTGTGGAGGATGTCTTGCGCGCTGTCGAAGCTGGCTGCGACGGTGTAGTCCTTTCCAACCACGGTGGTCGCCAACTCGACACCTCCCGCTCTGGTATCGAGGTCCTTGCTGAGGTGATGCCTGCGCTCCGTGAACGCAACTGGGAGAACCGCATCGAGATCTTCGTCGACGGTGGTGTCCGTCGTGCAACCGATATTCTTAAGGCGCTGTGTCTGGGCGCAAAGGGTGTCGGTATCGGCCGCCCGTTTTTGTACGCCATGTCTGCCTATGGACAGGCTGGTGTTGACCGTGCCATGCAGCTGTTGAAGGACGAGATGGAAATGAACATGCGGCTGATTGGTGCAAGCTCCATCGCAGAACTTAATCCCAGTTTGATTGATGTTCGAGGGTTGACCGGTGGGCATCATGCGCCCGTGCCGGCGGACTCGCTAGGCGTGGGAGCTTATGATCCATTGCAGGCACCGCGGTTTAGTGAGAAGGCCAAACTGTAATCATGTCATTCTGTATATATACCTACTAATTGATTATTGTTCAATACCCGAATTCAGTAATATCCAATTGGGCCTGTTTTCTTCCAATCTGGATAGTTGCTTTTCTGATTAAAACGAAGCAGACAATTTCTGCTTACTGCTACCTCTGTAGTCTGTGGTTTAGTCCGTGGCCTGATTTATTATCCCAGTCAAATTGGTAATCTTGGACCCCGAAAACCATCGGCATCAACCCCAATCCCGAGCTTATCAATCCCCCAATAAATGACCTCATTACTACCTAAAACAGATAAGCTTATCTGCATGAGCTATGCATGCCGTAACCACCATATATATTCCACTCTTACCACCAAACCTCAAATAAAAAAACGCTCAACAAATCAGTGAAAATGTCAAAAACAATCCTCATCACCGGTGCCACTGGAAAACAAGGCGGAGGGGTAATCAATGCCCTCCTCGCTCAAGACGCAGATGTCGAGATCCTCGCTGTAACCCGGAATACTTCGTCCGGAAGTGCACAGAATTTGCAGCAAAAGGACCCTTCGAAGATTAAGCTAGTTGGGGGGAATCTGGATTATCCGGAGGGTATCTTTGCGAATGCGAAGAAAGTCACCTCGCAGCCTATTTGGGGGGTGTTTGCTGTCCAGGTATGTTGCATTCTTAATACATGTTAAAAAAAAAAAAAAAAAAAAAAAAAAA